CCGTTCACACTCCATCATCCGTGCAAAGACATAACTGAAGGCATACATGTTAATTGTAGAACCGAATGATAGTTCACCTATTGGTGCGGAATTCAACGGCTGGTCAATAAACTCTGTCTTCTGCCTAATTGTCACATATATAACTCAACCATTAGATGCTCGGTGGGTGTAGTCATGGGTGTTTACTACTAAACAGTCTCAAAACGAGATTGAAACATCCATCTGTGCTTTGTAATGCCTCTAAGACTGACATCATTCACTGCGTGATCAAACTTGAAGTGACTGTATTGCACAAGGACGTTCAAATTCGATGCTGAATCGCCTTCTATATCGTATGCACATAATTCTCACACCTCACTAACACCATTTTATTATGTATTTCGTTAAGTTCATGTAATTTTTAGCGATCGAAACCAACTAAATTATGATCTGAACGCAGTGAACCGACTGTTTAGACATCCGAGTTTCCGTGGAGAGACGTCCAGCACGAAAACACTCCGAAGAGAGCAGTTCAAGAGGAGCACGGATAATCATTACAACGTTTGTTGAATCGTCCAAATAAGTGTGAATACTGTAGTTAGACGCATCAGTAGGGATTTTGTGAACAGGTCTTCTGCCACAGGGATTGTTTGTGAAATATTTGACTGTAATATTCTGTTTTACAGGCGTAGCATTATTGGCAGTCAGCACACCAGAAATCGATTGGAGTGTGACGGTTTTTAACTATGGTGAGGTTTTCAAGCTCATTTCAGTAACAATAATTATGGTCATAATAACAGTGATCCTTTATTCAATAATAACCTACTAATATTTGTGTAATGACGCGAGAGATCGGAGAGCAAAATGCAGGATTTCTTACATTGAGAAATGTTCTGAGTTTGGCACTCGAGCAATTGTTCTCAGTTTGATCACGGATTGATGTCAGGTAGTGAACCAGTGACAACGACCTGTAAGTACCAGGCAGTAGTTTCACCCTAGTTTGGTATTTTGTGGCTCATCCTGCAACTAAATTGCGCTGAAGTTTGAAGTTCAGTGGATGCGTACTGACAATGAGCGCCAATCTACGGTGAAGGCGCTGTTCAGTACTCGTGGCTGGTTTTCAATCTTTCTCTAACTGACGTCGATCTGTGAACAAGCTTGAGTCAAGTCACTGCGAACCTAGTCCTGAACATTTCTACTATAATTCCCGGTGATTCTGTTGCAAGTTAACAGTAAAATATCGAAGTATTATTAACACTGTATTGACAGAAGACAGGGTTTATTTGTTGGTAGGACTGTTTATTCATTTCATGAATGATCTACATCCACATGTGAATGGAGAACACTTAGTTCAGCGAAGAAGCTCTGGTTCGGCGAATTCACTTTCCTATTCAGCTGTATCAACGTCATAATTATATGCAATTATTTTCTCACAAAAGAGGTCAGATAACAACAAAAGTGATTCGTTGTCAAAGTCACGGTTTTCAACATCATTCAGTGTTATAAGAGCAGCTAAGTGAGAACATCTGAATTGCAGTAGGTAAACCCCTGGGACGGGAACTCGTCAAATCCTGATTAGAAAGCCGGGTCATTAACGTTCATGCACTAGAACCTGCATCAATCACCAGTCCATGTATTCTAGCTTGTACAACAGGATGAACGGAGACGGCGGGATTGATAACTGATGCGTTGTTTCCTGTTTCTCATTGCCCTGTTGATTGATTCGAGCGAGATGTTCCAATTCTGTTAACATGTCAGCTCTCCTTCTCCGGATGCTTCGAAGATGCATTAGGACTCAGCTTGAAGAAATGTGTTGGATTGTGACGAGTAGTGGGGCGCAAGATGCATATTTCGAGTTATTTGAGATTTGTTATCAGGATTCTGAACAATCAGAGATTGTCTCCAGAACTAAGTTATCCAGTTTATGATAATGTCTCATCATGTGTGTGATATAGATTTCTATGGAATTACATGTTCACACCACAGCCTGTCAATTTTACACATCTGCTGAGATTAGTCTCATATTGCTGTTGAAAATGTTATTGTTTCTATCTTTCAGTCATACGCGACACCAAGAAGCAGATATATGTGAAAAATGTCCTGGAGTATCTGAACAGTGAGTACTAGTGATGACTGTCAATGAATTGAAGTCATAATGCACAATTCAATAATGCTAATCACGTTTATCATGAAACTATAAAACCTACCAAATACCAATGGACTCTACTGAGTACCTGTAGAACACTTGCATCAACAAAGAGTAGGGCTTGTTAGCTACCTAGATCAAAGTGATCTCAACACTATCGAATGACCAATAATCCCCTTCTGGTGGCGAGGTCATAAGCGATGTGACCAGTTTCACTCAGCTCAAACTACCCGATCTTTGGCTGGTTACTTCGGCGAGCTGGTAATAAATCACATCAAATTGCATTCTACACAGTTTGAGTAGGTGAAATTTCACCTCTCAGTTTTCTTGCGAAACGGAAATTATTCACCAATCCACTAAATGTGAGTGTGTGATGCGCTTGATGTCATAAATCGTGATCAGTGAAATCGGCCTGAATGCATGACAATACGTGCTTATTATTTCACTGAAATGAGTGGTGTCAAACATACCACAATGAATACTTTCCATTTCCAAAATGAAAATATGCGCGAATTATCACCTGGAACTTGTGTAAACTATGAGTTGATTTGCAAAATGCCTACTGTGAGGCTCAGTCAGTAGATATGTCTTCCACCGTGACAATTACATACACTTATCTGTCCAACTACACCTCATCTTTATCTTTTATCCAAATGACTCATGAATGATATTTTCATTTGATTACAGAACTGAAAAACGACTCTAATTGGAAGAACGTGAAGTATCTATCTGAGCCGTATGAAGATCATCCGAGTAAGATTTATTTTCAGAATAACCTCTTATAACATGACGGAGACTAGGCAACCTTGACATTTCACACTAACAAAGGGAGACATTGACATGAGAAATCCTTGGAAAGAAATCGTTTGGAAACTGAGATTCTTTCACAGTCAAACTGCTTCCCCAGTTTGATTAACAAATGACTGATAGTTTTCTAAAACCATTGGAATGCATCTAGGAGAACTGAAGAGCTGTTTTGTCGTAGTTTGTCATTGTTCTCAACAGTCCACGTCAATGAACGCACACATTAGTGATCGAAACCAACAGCCTCAGGTCACGAGGTGAGATCGTTGACAATCCAGTCATTGAGATGCGATTCAATCTCCTACTCATGAATGTACATAGCTTGAAGTGAAGCTCCTGTGTTCGATCTTTGGTGAATGAGTTAATCGGCTCGTACTAGAACAGTGACCTGCTTAGACACTGTGCTACCAAACAATCCTCCATCATATACTGCATCTTATTTTGCGTGTCTAATTGGTTTCAATCTATTAACCTATGAAAATGTGACCTCCAGTCTTATTGTTCACTCTCGCGAACATTTGAAGTCTTAGAAAAATTGAGGGTTTGCAAATTTTGAATTAACTCAGGGAAACGCATAGTTCTAAGTAGGAACGTGCATTGAAACATAATCTACTGCACTAAATGATGATTCCTGGGATCATGAGTACAATCTGCCGTTCCTTGTCCAATGAAAGTAACCGTCTGCAGTTTCAAATGTCTTCTAATGCATATCACAAGACGAGGATCATAACTCTTCACGACACCTAGTTTCATGATCTATATGATGAAAATTGAGTCTGTCTCAATTGTTTCACACCACTCAGACAAGATCGGTGTAGCTCAGGAAATGGTGATGTTGGCGTTGCAACCCTTATCTATACTCAGTGGTGGTCCACATACAATAACACTTTCGTTTCAGATTCTCAAATGATAAAATCAACTGCATTACTGTGACATGTCGACCGAAGCACCTATCTGTCTGAGTACAATTTCAACTATATTTCGAACAGTTATATTGAGCCTGGTTGAAGTCTCTGAGAACTAAGCTCATTTGCTGGTGAATTCACTTCTTTCATTACCACCTCCCATGCCAACTCTTTTTCAGTAGTGACTGGAGATTTGAGTTCCTGTGACTGCACTTTGCCTTTATAATTAGTTCATGAAAATGTTGTTCCTGTGATTGTGGTCTTGTAAATGGCACTGCAGCTGGACTAAGTTGAGTATTGAATTCCTTGGAATAGGTGTTTCCTCCGATATTACTCAATCTCTACTTTGACAGTTTGATGATTCTTGTGTTCTACCCATGCTCTTTTATTTGTTCACCTCATTCTTGCCTGGGTTACATAAGAAAGACTTTGTTACATTTTGGAGGGTAGTATGCGCTATTGATATGCCCATGAGATGTCATCAAACCCGATTGTTAATACTTATGGAGGTAGACACGAGAACTCACACAAGAAGACAGCGAATATTATCTTGTCGGACTCTGAGCTGCCTCTCTATACACAACTCTACCATCCCACTTCGTCAGGTAGAACTAGAAGCAGCCATAGAAATCTCTATGCTCCGACGACTGACTATGAAACTCTGCAAAACTAAGCTTTGAAAATTATTCTTTGTACACAGAAGTCTTGAGTTTTCCAATGGAACTGCCTCAACGATAAATTCTATTGTCACTTCCCTATGGCCTATCCAGAAATGTCCACACCTCTCATATATATTCACAGTCTGTGTCTCCACTTCAAAGTGATGCAATGCGAGATTTATACACACTTTGGAACGTGAACGTGTTAGATGCGGTTAGTGGGTAAATAATGTGTCTGCATTTATCTACTGCTCAGGTTTCTCAGAAACTTTTGAAGAATACCACCGTGAGTTTATTCATATATATCCGATAAGTCTATACATGTATAGGAGTATGCAAATGAATGTATGTAACTATAAATACTTAGATAGATATTAAGATAGATAAATCGATGACAAATACATGCATACATACATAGATAGATAGATAAATAGATAGAGAATTTTTGCAAGGGCATACCTCATCCCGTACTTCCTGTTCTAATTTTTGTGTGTTTGTTATTTCCAGATCGTAATGTTGCAAAAGAAATTGTTTCCGAATTGGTGAACAAAAAATCGAAAATTGACCTGACTACAGGTAGCTACTGATCTCCATGAGGAAGCATTTTCCATTATATATATACAGTGTAGTGGTAGATAAACCGGTTTTTGATTTCCCTCTCAACGTTATCACTGTTCAACACAATCATGGTATCTGGATAGTATCATGGAGATCCTGACTGTGAAGATATTCAACTTCCTGGCATTCCATACACATACTAAAAATAAATCTATGTGGACTGCTGACTTCCACACATGCTATTCAACAGGTATCTGGATAAACAACTAGTGCTGCAGACGATGTAACTCCGTAAATTCTGAACACGATTCATATGCCAATGTCGAATCATTAATGCATCCAACTACTTCAGTGAATTTACTCAAAGTAGATTTCAATACAAATCAACATAGTGTACTCAACTCCTTTGTAAAGACGTTTAGAGAAATCGAATTCTCAGTCATCACCTATGAACTCTAAATTAATCCACTCATCTATTACAGCTAGGGCATGACCTGCCTCACATCATTAACAACATCCTCAACAATGCTCAGCCTAATTATCACAGTAAGTGTTATTTAAAAACACACTGTTGCACATCGTCTGTTCATATTGCGCCTCTCAATAAGTGAGATGTGAAGTGATTTGTTGAATGGTGACTAGCAGTAGAAACCAAGATGCACATTTCATGCGATTTGAGATTCTTCATTTAAGAATCGCATGCATTCTCCAGTTGGTGCTGGTGTTTCTACTGAGACTCGAAACCAGTACCGATCACTTCAAACACCAAAGTGCCATTCACTGTACCACTTGGGCCACGAGACAGAGCCGCCTCTTGTGCAATGGGCATCAGCTATGTCTTGTTTTGAGTGAATTTCGATTTTCCGGTTGACTGATTGGACTGAAATATTCAACCAATGGAGAGTGTAGGCACGCCCAAATGACGAGTTCTGAATAAGACGAGATATGCATCATGGATTCCATCGCTATTCCCCATCCACCGAATCACGTTAACTTAATCCATAATTTTCGTCAGAGCGTTCCTATCAAGAGTCGACATAGAGACAAAGGTCGAACCTTTCGCCCAATCAATCAACAGGAAAATTGAAATCGACACAAAGTAGACATTTGATTACGCGTAAATAAGAATTCGTGTTTCTGTAGAAAATGCTGAGTCTCACACTGTATTCTACTAATGCTTTGTAGTCTTTAATAACTTCACGAAATCTCTTGACAATGCATGGGCGGCTAGAAAGGATCTGTATACAACAGCAGGTTAGTCGACAAAGCATTGCTCTTCTTGTTGTCGTTGTTTCAAAGATATCCAATGTAAATGGTAACAGAATTGTCAGAGATTCTGTTCCCCTGTTTCGGTCTGTGTAATGCGGTCGACGATATTTCTGATTGTGTTGAACTGGATGACTGGGCTCACTGCGGAATGTGCGAAGACATCAATATATGGGATCGATGAGAAGACTCTGCAATATCTGGAATTTGTGGAAGATTAGCGATTAATGTCACAAAAATTTGAAGAACATCAAGCGATGATCAACGACTTGTCAGAAGTGGTAGGAAGTGAAAACAGGATCTCGAATGAAGGCAGAGAAGACGGATATCATGAAGATAAGCTACTAACCAACCAACCAACCAGTCAACAACAAACAACACCAGTCAGTATCAGTGGGAGAAATTTGAAAGAGATCACTGCCTTCACTTAGTCAGCCATAAATGCGGTTTCAACTACAAGCAGCGTCATGGATGACGATGTAAAAGACAGTGAGAATGAGAGGGGCGAAACAGACCTTCATGATTCTGAAGTCAGTTTGGAAATCTACTTCACTCATCATAATGAACATAATTTTGACTTCAACAGCAATATTGACTCGTTCTTCTAAATAGTTCGGCGATTTGACATGCGTTTCATGACAGCATCCCCAACAGACTGCTGCAGACTTTGATCAGGATGCGATTGTTTCGCTCCTTACAGAAGGTGAGTTGGATAGAAAGAATTTTTGTTGTTGCTTATTTTTTCGTTCGTTTGTGCTTCGAGTGGAAGATACGTTGTCAAACGCAATCTTTTAACTTTGAATGACTGTTGTGTTGTCTACATAGTGAGATATCTGGCCTCACAGTGATACTTCCAATTTTTGCTGGCTGAAAATCAGCTGAGTGAGGCGAAGTTGTACTTCGACCGGAAGTTGAAACAGGGACCACATACACATTTGGCGTGGATTCCAGCATTCAACCACTGAATTAGCAGCAAGCAACTCTGAAAGCAAACTCACCAATAGCCAATTGTTCATTGAATATTCTGGAGTAAATGAGATGAGTGGGACACACGGTGAAGAGACCGTCGAATGAAATGACACGGCAGCCTATCAATGGAGTGTCAACCGGAATGTTGACATGTTTGAATGGAAGTTAGGACACGACAGATCTCTTCGCTAACTTTAGAGTTCCTGATCACAGGACATAGTAGTATGAGCAGTACTTATATAGTGAAGGCACCTGTGGAGAAGAATAATTAACCAAGCATTTATTTGAGAAGGACATGCATTTTGTATGTCGGATGCCTGTCAGTGAACATTTTTTTCAGCTGAATGGTTGCTAGACCCTACTCTTCACAGAGTAATGATAATAGTAGTAGTATTTGTAGTAGTGACAGCATGAGCAGGTATATAAAATGGAGTTTTCAATCAGTGGGAAATACAGTCAATTTGTTGCTTGATATGAATGAGTTTTAACTCTACACTGGAACACCAATCCAATTAAGCCGAATTGCTCGAACTTACTCATGACATAAAACTGCACTACATACTTCGAAAATTTTGACCATTCATCTTTTTAATGCCAAAAATCTCACTGACCTGGAAACAATCAACAATAGCGACTGTCGACTCACAATTATCAGTTTTCATCATATACTCTCCTATGAAATAAGTTTCACGAAACATATTCTAAGTCTACTCATTTTCATGGTGTGTTTTTTGAACTGTGAGATACATTCATGATGTTTTTTATTGACAGCTGTGAACTTTGCAACTGCAAACAAGCTGGAGAATCCGGAAACCATTAATGAAAGTGAGTTAACAGAAATAAGGGAAGTGTATGTGCATTTGTTTGATCACATTGAATTTCCAGCGATTATTTAGAGGTATGATTTCAGCCTACACCAGTCAGGGAATCAGTGGGAGTAAGCAGGGTGTACTGGACAAACTTTGCCTCCCATTCCAGTACTCCTGAGCAGTACGCACCTAACGACTTTCCTTCCAAAGAGCTTTCAGTTACAAGACGTAGTTGCAGTTCTTTCCGCTACTGCGAACTGACTCAATGATCCGTGAATTCCAGCTAATATCAATATTAGCATAGTAATTTGTGATCTTGAGTGTGAGGTGTTTTATTTTCTCTTCCTACCATGTGTTGATGGCTGTTTTTCAAGTGAGATTACAGGGAATCCTTGTTTAGGGTGATATGTATCGTTATCCGAATGAATGACTGTCGTTCAATTACCTGCATTGATGACTAACAGGCAGTAGTGCTTGTGTGGAAGGGGAGTGAAGATCATAACCGAGACGCTTCCAGTCTGGTCAAATTTGACTTTAGTCTTCTAGCTACCAATATGTCTGATGTTTTCGAGGACACAGAAGAAAGACGCTTGTCAGATATGTACTGTGCTGAGTGCAAACAAATCCGAATTTATTCAGCTTTCTTAGTAGACTTCAAAGAAGATGTCGAAGGTAGATGGATGACTGAATGATTTCAGTTTTGTATAACCACCTGCATGAAAGATTTATATGAAGTAATAATGTATTCATCTACAGTGTGAGAAATGTGTAGCTATTGGAATGTATGCAAGGAAATTGCGCATATGATGTAGGATACGGGAAGAAGAGTATATATTATGCAATGAACTCTGCTGAGAGTTCCGTACGCTTTCTAAACACTGTCCTGAGCAATGCTATTATTATTATTGGTAGTATTTTTACTTGACTCGGTGGGACCGATGAGTTATTCGAGTTTCACTAAAGAGATGATCTGTTATGTCATGTCACCCAACAGTCTAATCAGCATGTGTCCGATCCATCTACACTTTCTTCTACATATTTGCTGAGTAATGAATTCTTGATTGGTTCGTTGAGAGAGTTTCTTGGTGCTTATCATTGCAGTCTGGTCATAGGGTCAGCAAACGCAGCTGTTGATAACATTCTTCATAGCGTGTTTGAAATTATTTTGAAGACACACCGAATCCCTCAGGACTACATAGAACTGTGCTACTATTATTGGTAGTATTTTTATTTGACTCGGTGGGACCTACGATGGTGTGATGTGCCATGTCAAACGACAGTCTAATCAGCTTTTGTCCGATCCACCTCCACTTTCTCTGACATATTTTCTGTTTGAAATGCTTCTGAAGACACACATCTTTTGATTTAATGTCGGACATGAATAATTTTCTTCGAAACGATGAGAAGACGCAACTAATACGTCGAATAACTGAAGTCATGAAATCAAAAGAAAAAGAGCAGAAACATCAGTGATAAGTATATCTCCATTTAAATTCATTAGGAAAATGTGTAAAGCTCGAAATATCAGTCCTAACATAAATAAGAAACGATTTAAGCAGTATACAGTTTTACCAAGGAAGGAAGAAACATTTGAAATTCTATGTAGGTTTCCGACAAAAGGCGGTATGAGAATGTGGCTGCCACTGAAATCTACAAAATCACTGAAAGACAAGCTCTGTACGCTGAAAGAGGCTGTTCACTCAATTAGAGGCGAGTAATTCCATGTGCACAAAGCACCTTATATTGACTTCAATGTCAGCTATACAGGTGCGACCAGTGCAATCGGTCTCAGTCAGTCAGTCAGTCAGGAAGTCGAATCACACGCATTCAGTTCAATGGAGAATGACTGACCTGAGTAAAGGAGACGGTCTTAAGAGAATAAGTCATCAATCACAATGCATTCACTGGAAGTTAAACGATGACATATTTCGCTTATTTCATTGCAAACGTGTACTGAGTTCCTACAGAGTAAATGACACATATGTAAGTGTTTGTCTAATCTACATACACACACATACAATATTAACACCTAATGCCTACAAACACTCAATTTTACACATTCACTCAAACCCACAAACAATTAATTTCAAATTTCACCTAACAATATTCAAAAGACACTCTCATTCTAATTGACGTCTGCTCTTCATTAGGTGTACTTCTTGCCGAAGAAGACTTGCAGGTATCTATGGAAGAGGAATTCGTGCAATCAAGAGGTAAAAAAATGATGGAACAACTGTTGCATTTCAAACACGAATCCCACTTTATTTTCTCGAAACATGCAGTAGCAATCATTTGGGCTAGTTCATCGTGAGTGGTTGAGAGGACTGTCGAGTGGCTGAGGATGTTGTCTAGTAAGGCGATGACAGCTTCTCAACTAAACCATCAAGCTCAGTGAACACAACTACACGAGAAAACACTCATCCAGCGTGGATGTATTATCCTACCATAATGACGAAATTCTACTCTCACATGAACTACAACACCAGAGTGAGTAATTTATCAGACACGATGAGTAACCAGCCTCATTTGCACATGCTTCCCCTATCAAGTGTGTATGCGTGCGTTTGGAATGAACAATAATATGTGGACACGGAGAACACACATTTCACGTTGACCTTTTGGTCGGATTATCTTGCAGTTTGATTCATTTCATTTTATCTCTCCTTGTCCAGATAATGTTGAGCGGAAATGTTTTCAAATGTCAGGAATGCAACTAGATCGAAATGGTGAGTTCCAGTTTGTATGGTTGTTGATATCTAATTGCCAAATCGCTGCGTCGACGGACCAGCAACACCAGCAACCTCATCAGATATCACCGACACCTGCAATGAGATCAATTTACTGTTCATGGTTTAATGTGATGTCTGTGATTCCTGATTGTCACCATGAAATGTTCTTGTGACTGATATGCAAGGGTGAATAAGAGTGTCTGCAGTGAATCTGGATTCGTCCTACTTAGCATAGTAGTACCTGTTCTGCTCAACTGACACCAACATTACGTCTTTTCACCAAAGCAACTATCCATACACGCATTTCATATGTGATGTATATTTTACCATGTAATTATTGTGATTTTTCTCTTAGGTTCCGAATGGAACCTAGGACTTGAAAATCATCTCTCGACTCACACTCATTTCTGCAATTGTCTTGAGCAGACTCCACGACTGATCATCACTTCCCATCTCAACTTCATTTGAATTCAAGCTGCACTCTCGCTTGTTTTGTGGTTGGGACGTTTTGTCAAGCATGTGAGATAACCATGGACAGTCTCCTCATTGTGTGTCTAATCAATCTGTAATTTTTTCTGAATGTTTGTTAGGTGACAGGTTCTTGGTTGATTTGTTGACAGAGTTCAAATTTACGAATGCTTTCTAGGAAGACATTTGATCTTCGGCATCTAGGCAGAGAAGGGCGCTGCTGGTAAACGTCTGCAGTCATTTCTTGCAAATGGTTTCAGTGATACAGCAAAGTTTCTGACCGGTTCAGAAGAAATGAATAACTGTGGTTGAAACGGATCTCTCTGTATAGATACGTGAAGGAATTGACCACATTCAATTTCTCCTACTGAAATAAATTGGTGCATGTTGTTGATCTTCTCTGGAAAACAATCCATTTTCAATTCTCTGACAATATGCAACTCATATCACTCTTTCTCAAAGCAGCTGTTCACCATCTACGGGATTTCACCAGTTCTCTAACTAATGACAAGCAGTGATGTAAACTAATCCCACTTCCGTTTATTCACTCAATATCACCTACCCTCTAGATGAATATGAAACAAATGTCCTGTGTATGCACTTGCGTGAGAGGTTCAGCGGTAGAATTCTCGCCAGCCAATCACGCGGTTCTAAGACCGACTCCCAACGGATGACTTTAAACTTACACCTCATCCTCTGTAATATCAATATTTCAAGTTCTCTGAGGCCATGTGCTTCACTCAGAGCTCAAGGCATGCAAAACAAATATATACTTGTCACCCATAACTTTTGAATGACCTGGCTTTCTTCAATCCTATGTTCCTGCTAGCCACTTCTATCAATATCCTCATATTTTCTTCACAGCTGTCGATGAATTCCTGACGAAATCAAATTCGACAAATGAAAAAATATCTGAATTCAAAAATGCTGTTGGTAAGTGACAAATTTTGTGCTTGCAATGCTGTTTCCCTCTGCTGTGTAGCAATTTCAAATACTGATAACACTTTGCAAAATAAAACAAAGAAGGCCTGTGTGTATATCTGCAGGAGACGCGTAACTTCACCCACATAACACGTGTTGAAAAGCTGTTGCATCACACTTGGAGGGAAATTTCGCGAGGATGAGATTGTCATAGAATATTCAAGAGTTATTCTATAAGGATTCGATTTCCTTCAAGTTTGATCGTAGTTTGAGATAAGTAGGAGAACCATTGCAGACAATCAAGGAGCACTCATAAGCTGTTCCTCCTTATTTCGAGGTTGTTCGACAGTACGCTGACGCGCTTTCATCGATGATTGAGCCAAGGACCTGCAAGCTATGGGAACAAGCTTGTTCGGCATTCAACCAATAGAGGCCATACTCCACCGGCTCTTGAATTCCAGCAAGTAGTACTTCGTGATTTTATCGCATCCACCAGGCAATGTCGTAGGCGAGTATTTGTCGTCACATTCCGCATGGTGAACCCTGTTATTTGAGACTCGTCACTAGAACTCCAGTCAACTTCGTATTGAGTCAGTCACTAGCAAGCGTCATAACCTGAATTTCCTCGGTTCCACCGACAACAGGTGAGTTCATGCATGTCTACTGTCCGTAAATCGCAAACTAGGAATGGACAACCAGCTGGCCAGTACTTCCAGCTGCTCTTCAATTATTCTCTTACTGATATCAATCCGTGATCCAAACATGGAACCAATCGAATCCTTGCAAACTAAATCCTTGAAGTAAAGCCAGCTGGCTACGGCACAGTTGATCACAGTTATCATTTCTATTTCAATGGTTTATTCACGGCAGACGTATTCTTATCATATTGAGTCATGAAAAGTGTCACAAATGTGAACTATGTTTAATCAGTGTAAGAAGATGACAAAAGCGATGAAGATGCAAGTGAAGAAACAACGAATCAACAAGACAATCCAGGGTGGATCACAAAATCCTGCTGTACGCATCAATAAGGCACCTGTTGTTCGATCTCTGCTGCTTCTCTATGTCGTGGTAGCCAATTCTTACTGTCTTTCTGCCATTCGGAAGGCTACCAGGCAGTCATTCACCAAATGAGAATAATTTTCGAGCATGTTCATAAATCCTCTTTGTATGTACCCTCACAGTTCTTCCCCTATATATATTGTGCTGCAAGTACAGGTAAATGAATGAATGCAGTTTCAGGTTTCGTGAGGCACTCTCACATCCATATTCGTTTCCCTGAACGTGTTCTTCATATTGTGGACTACTACTACCATCACTAATCTAATACTACAGCTACTTCTGATTTCGCAGTGGGACACGCTACAGCAATACATGTGTTCTGCGGTCGGCGAATATCTCGTAAACTCATTCTGTCGCCTTAACTGAATTGCAATCTGAAGAATGCATTCTTCTTTCGTAAAATTATTTCAATCGAATTCTCATTATTTCACTTGAAATATTCACTGATAAACCTAGCGGGGTATCCATTGCCGATGGCTACTTGGCGAATTCGACCCAATTATTCATCAGTCAACTCTTGAGAACACACGATCCAGGGGCCGGTGAGAAGAAGCATTGACTGGATTTCTTTTGTAGTGAAATAGGAGAGAAGTTGTTAAGTGTTGAATATTAACCTGTCCAAGTCGACGTCTGTTAAATCCCATTTGATCATACATAGCCATCTTCATTTCTTAGTAAGACTCAGGTCCATTTCATTCTGTTTGCTAAAGTTGTCTTCATCTCACTCCATGATTCTCCATTAGCCTCCGTTTACTCCACACACCATCTTCCCAATTTCACCTTCTGACGCACAACTCATCGCTCTACATTCGGGTTTCGTTCGACGCCTGGCATGGCGCATAATTCCACTAAACTGTCTTTTCAGCGTGTGTCCGATTCATTTCTATTTCCCCTATCGATTTGTTTGGCCACAGGTTCTTGATTGGATCGTTGCTAGAGTTTCCTCTCACCCATCCATTTTACCTATCTGATCATCAGTACGGAGTGAGAGAGAAGTCTGTAGTGGCCTGTTGGAAATGCTTTTCATAATACGTCAAGTCTCTAAAATGTGATAAGAACTGAACAAATCTTGTTCTTTGTGTTTAGTGCCGGAGATTTACAAAGTGATTTCGGAGTAATGCAGTTCTGCCTTTCGACTCCGAACCAGACCAGCTTTGACATCTCCATCCGTGTCAACTAAGTGTAGCTGAAACGATGCTGACTGTCGAGATCAATGAAAGAAGCAAATTTCTTCAAATTTCCCCAACTGACAGTGATTGGTGTTTCCTGTTTGTCTTGTTGCTAGTGGTGGTGTTTGGTTGGTTATCTTCTTCACCGCTTTTCTCTCTATGTTCATTTGAAAACTTGTCTTCGCTACATGCCTCTTCTACCAACTTGTTGCATTTCGTCGGTGTGTGTCTGTGTCTGTGACAATTGTGTAAACTAAATTGAATAGCTTGAGTCGATTCTCTGCTTGATTTTCACTCTCACACATGTAATATACGTCTCACCAACATATGTTGAGCACATTTTCACTTTGGTTTCATCGTATCATTGAGATGTCTGAAAAGTTTTCAAATCTGCCTTTATCCATCTTTATCTCTCACATCAACTTGAACCACCTGACATGGTGGTTGCATTGCAGACTTGATTAATAAAATTCACTCTGTACAAGCAACACAGACCAGACGTAGTACAGTCATTTCTTCCTAGTGCTCAACTAGAGGATCCATCGCAACATCAGAGGAGCTGGATGGCGAGCCAGTCAAGCTCAGTGGTAGCCTCTTTGACTGCAGGTAGCGTTGGGTGACCGGGAGTTCGAATCTCAGAAGAGAAACGAGTAATTCCTTCAAGATTGCAGGTAGGTCATTGCTGAGTGATGAATACCTGACTGCAAAATAAGCAGGACACCAGAGTGTCAGGCAGAGCTTTCTGCATGCCAATCGCCTCCAACCGGAGCATGACATTTATTCGTATCATGACTCATATAATCTAGACACAAACACTGAAATGAGAAGGAGGAGAAATAGGCAATATGCTATTTAAATACTCACCTGTTTCTACGAAGATATCTGCTCAATTAATATTTCTCCCTGACATTATTTCACATATTTAGTTCAAATGATTTCTGAAGTACAAAGGCTTGAGAAGTTCAGAATTGACAGGTTTCCCAGTAAGTTCAAATTTCACTGATACAGTAATAAATACATTTATGTTTAGACGAGTCACCATCAGGTATTATCTTTACAGCTTACAATACAATGTATCGAGAACTTTTACATGAATTTGGTAAGTGATTTCGAGGCAAATTACATACTATTCATTTTGCTCGTATTAAGCTGTCTTGTAATTTCTATTTCTATCATTACTATTTTTATTAGTATTATTACTATTACTGCTATTGTCATTATTACTCACTCGTGTACTCCTTCAGTTCTGGGGCGAATATACAGCCTGAGATGTGTACTTCATTATTGGTCTCGGCTCTCTCTCCCTCTGTAACCAATCTCGACTACTCCCGAAAACGACACTGACCACCACAAGCTTTCATTCCGTCTCCATCTAATCTTCTCGGCGTCAATCTAGGAAGCCAGCTCACCACGTCTCTTCCTATTGAGATACCACTCGAGAGCTTGGCGTGTGTGATACTAGTCAGTCAGTCGACTTCTTGAAGTACATTTAATCCAGCCCAATTCTCCTCGAAATATTTGTTGAGCGAACGTTACCCGCCTGTTAGTACGATGACACAGCTCCTCATTGCTGATTCTTTTCAGCCGACCATCTGATCTTCAATATGGTGCTAACAAAGACAGCCGTTGATAAAATTCTGCGCTAGTATGTTGGAAGTGGTTTTGGTTGCACTACAAATTCCTGATGCATGCAGAGGAAGTGAATTGGCTTTGATGCTTACGCTGAGAAGTACTGTATATTTACAAACTAAACTTTGAGGAATGGAGTTCTATCACGCCTCTCCGATTCGGGTTTTGAAATCGTTATGCATCCATACTATAGTGGAAACAATCCCGCTCCACCTAGTGAAAGAAACTATTTCTCTTGGATTACTCTCTCTGACAGCAGTCGTCAACTGTTGTCGTTAACCGGCTATCGTGAACCTTTCTATCTCCTTTTATTCAGCCTGATCTCCTGTTACTGATGCTCCTCTCAGTCTGCCGCTTTGGTATATATACATATCTGAGTTTGTCCGAAAATTAGGCATACATCTTTGTGCGTCAGCGGCACAGTGGTTAGGATGCTCGACATTCTTGCAACATGGTCCGATGTTCAATCCGCGACCAACGCGCACCTGATATCAACGGTCCGCATGCTAAATTTGGGCTACCGATTTCACATGCTGAAACTTTTATACTTGTACTAAAATACTGTGTGGAATCAAGCTATAATAAAGAGCTCAAATCTTCCATCACTTCGATGTTTGATGGTCTTATGATTACTCACAGTCTATTGCACAGTCCAATCATCCCAACCAAGAAGATGGGCGGTGATAGCTCTTAGCCTTGTCTTACTACTATCAACACTTCAACGCTTGGATGGGCATTGAAATGAGAATTACCTGGAATAAAGCTGATGACCTATAGTTGGATTCGTGAATGGAGTTTAAGTATGTTTGCGGCAGCAAACTTTGAGATGCTCAGCCAACTTTCAAATTACTTCGTAGTCGATGATCTTGATGGTCTTCTTCTTACAAGCTCGCCGTTCTATGCTGTGTTCGGTGACAATGAGTAGAGTTGTCATTTCATCTACGCATGGCTTTCCACATTCACGGTAGTGGCGTAAGCACTTCAACTAGGGCACCTATGTCCGTCGCCAGTGCTTCTCGAGTGCTACATCGGAATTCCACCTGTGGTGAGTGCTACTTATAATCTGATATAATTAGTATATCAGGAACGAAGTAACAATATGTTTGGCACACTGGAAAGAGCAATTTAAGAAGGGAACCATGAGAAGAATGATGCCATATGATGCAGAATACAAGAAGCTATCGAATGAGACGATATTGGACCAATTCGTCAAGGATGTGTTAAAGATGTGCCAATGACCGGCTGAGAATATCGTATTCCAAATTTAGCTGTGTACCATACGTTTCACCAAAGAAACATTCCTTTCAGTCTCCTCAATCTTGTCCACTTTACATTTGGAGTCGATGTCTTTGCCAGAGATGAAGGTGCCGTGGCCACAGGTGTTCGAGGAGAGAGATGTGCGGACGTTCCTCAGGGACTTCGAAGCTGTCGCGGAGCTGGTTGGAGTGCAGGAGCAGAAGGCGAAGCTGGTTGTCTTGGGAACGTTGCTGAGGGGCCGCGCGAAGGCTGCGTACGACAACGTTCGGGAGTTGGAAAGTGAGTCGGCGTGGGACAAGGTCGTCGAGAGGCTCGTGTGCGAGTTCGACAGCCCTGCGGACAGACAAGAGGCGCTGCAGAAGTTTCAGACGCTGAGACTTGGCCAGGATGGGGATCTGTTGGTTCTCGCAGTAACGCTGACGAATCACCTGCAACGCGCGTTACCCACCCTAGACGAAGATTCACGGGAGCAGTTGCTTGCATCTCAGTTCCTCGAATGCGTCCCGACAGATATCGCGCATCAGTTGCAGCTAGTTAACGCAGCTCAGCCAATGGATGTCTATGAAATGGCCAAGGTGACAAGGCAGATAATGACCTCGCATGTTGCTCCAGTGATGTCGGAGGGCCAAGATTCCAAGAAGATCGAAGACCAGATTGAAGAGTTGAAACAACAGGTGGCGGCTATGCAGATAAAGAAAAGATCAAACAACAGATGCTTTGCTTGCGGAGGAACCGGTCACTGGCAGAGAAACTGCCCGAAACGAAGGCAGAAAAACCTTAAACGATACAGTCTTCCTTCTTCTCTCTCGCGTTTGGAGGTGGTCGGGTTAGTCGAAAGAGGTTCAGTGTACGGGAGATTACGGGTGAACCAAAAAGAAATAGTTTGTTTGATCGACACAGGGGCCGCAGTTTCGTTGATAGATAGAGAACAGTGTAAGGAAATAAGGCCGTGTACATTAGCAGTTCAGACGGTAGGAGGACATCCGTTGCACATTCTTCGCGTTTCAGACTGCGTTGTAGAGATTGAAGCAGGAAAAATACGATATCCGTTATTGTAACTTCTCATATAAGACGAACGATTTTGGGAGCAGACTTTCTCAGAGAAGTAGGAGCTGTAATCGATATGAAGAATAGAAAAGTGGTCACAAAACACGGGCAATTCGCGATGCATGAGAATAGTGAAGTCGCTGAGGTGGAGACCACAACCATTGTTCCGCAAGATGCACCGCGTCTAACCACGTTGATGAGTAAATATGCCGGTTTATTCACTAGTGATGGAGACCCACACGGTTATTGTGATAAGGTAAAGCATAACATCCCACTGAAGGATACGGGGAAGACAGTCTTTTCATCGCGACGAGTTCCGGTCCACCTTGAAGAAGAAGTTAACCGACAAGTCAGAGAAATGTTAAACGACGGAATAATCGAAGAAGCCGACAGTCCGTACAGTTCGCCAATCCTTTTGGTGAAGAAAGCTAACGGGAAATATAGATTTTGTGTCGACTTCAGACAGCTGAATAGTCTCACCGAAGTAAAACAGTGTGCAATGCCTACCGTAACAGAAACTCTTGATCGCCTTCATAAAGCCAAGTTATTCACCGTGTTCTACCTACGATCGGGTTACTAGCAGATCCCAATAGCAGAAAGTGATCGAAGTAAAACAGCTTTCACAGTTGGGCAGAAACAATACCAGTTTAAACGAATGCCATTTGGATTGGTAGGTGCCCCATTTACATTCAGAAGATAATTGACCTTATTACTGAAGGGTCTGAAGAACGTAGAAGTATATGGAGATGACTTGGTGGTGTATAATGAGACGGAAAGCGACCATATAGACCACATAGAAGCTATCTTAAAGAGAATTGATGACTTTGGACTGCGGATTAATAAGAACAAGTCCCAAATAGCTAAAAACACGGTTGTCCTCCTGGGTTACAAAGTGAAAAATGGTGAAATACGGCCATTGCCGGAGAAGATCCTGACGGTCAAAACCAGCGAAGTGCTAAATTTAAAGCGAAAGCTGAGACAGTTTTTGGGAAGAGCGGCATTCTACAGCCGATTTGTCAAAAATTTCAATGAGATAGCAAAACCGCTATATACGTTGCTGAGTGACGCAAAATTCATGTGGAAGGAAGAGGCACAGCAAACGTTTGAGCAAATTAAAGAGCTATTAGATGGTCAACAGATGACGTTGAAACTGCCAGCGCCGGGGAAGCAGTTCACAGTTTCGACAGACGCCAGTGATTATGGTATAGGTGCTGTTTTAAGACAAACGGATGGGGTTGTTGAATACGCTAGCCGTGTGTTGACACTTGCAGAACAGAAGTATTCTACGGTGGAAAAGGAGTGTTTAGCCATTGTATGGGCACTAGAAAAATGGAGACCATATCTGATCGGCCGCCGATTCTACATTGAAACCAACCACAAACCTCTGCAGTGGTTGAAAACAGCACGGGATCCACGAGGGAAGTTATCACGATGGATGTTACGCCTACCAGAGTATGACTTCACGATTGGACATATTCCAGGAGAGGAAAATGTAATAGCTGACTATTTGTCGAGATCAGATAATGAGACTGAACTACCAGAGGTAGCGTATGCAGTAAACGCTTTGGAGCAAGATCCCTTACAACTTGTTCGCCACCAGAAGTCGGATCCTACTCTTAAGACAGTCATGCAGATGATACGTGAAGGGAAAGAAATTGAAATGGCAGCAGCGAATATAGAGTTAAAGATGCTACTGCAGCAAAAACATAGACTGAAACTAAACGCTGCCGGCGTCCTAGCTTGGAAAGACAGTGATGGTAGCTGGGTTACAGTGATACCAAAAAGCCTTCGTCGTGGGGTCATTCAAGAATGCCACCAACTAGCCCATACAGGAGTTGCACGAACATACGACCTAGTGAGCCAAAGTGCGTAGTGGCCAAACATGAGAAGCGATATTGCAAACTACGTACTCGCTTGCCTACAGTGTCAATTGATGAAGGGTGATCGGTGCATTCGACCACAGCTACAAACGATACCCGTAACGGCGGTTGGTGACCTATGGTCCGTGGACATAATGGGTCCTTTCCCTCAAACAGCAAGTGGGAATCAATACATTTTAATGATGACAGAACACGCCACGCGGTGGGTAAATGCTGTAGCGATTCCAGATCAGCGCACCAAGACCGTAACCGAGGCGGTTATTCGACATATTGTGGCGGATCATGGTGTACCAAAAATGATATTGACAGATCAAGGCCCCTGTTTTGAAAGTGAGGAGTTCAAGACTCGTCTGGAGGCACTGGGTACTAAAAGGATTAGAGCGACTCCGTATCATCCGCAGACAAACGGCTTAACCGAAAGGAACAATCGCACACTCAAGGAATGGCTAGCTGCGAAAAGAGGCAACTGGGAAACTGACTTACCGTTGGTATTACAAGCACATCGCGCCACAGTACAAGGGAAAACAAAAAGTCGCCTTTCCAGCTGATGTATGGGAGGAAACCACGCTTACCGGCGCACCATAAGACTTGGTCAACACAACAAAAATGGAACAGTAAGAGATGGACAAGTGAGCGGAAACAAGCTATTCAGAATATACAAGAGAAGCGCATTCCTTTCAGTCTCCTCAATCTGGTATAATTTACACAACGCCTTCGTATAATTTTCTCATATTCAAATCATTTGAGTTTGTTAAACAATCAGTATTCACTGACAGTTCTGTTGCATAACCCGTCAAATTGCTGCAAGCAACACACATGCGAAAATTATCTTCCAACAATGCCAAAAGGCCTGATAAAATCTGTGACACTATTCAACAAAATAATAACCTGTGTCAGAAATACAAAACTTCATTAAAAATGTCTTCCGGTAGCTTTGCAGTCAAAAGACTTCTCAGGTACAAAAAATTAACTGTCCAGTCAAAATTGCAAGTTACCTGAAAATCAGTGAGAATATTCACAGAAAGATGAGGCTTAATCGAAACAGAAACGATGATTAGAGATACAATTTGACGACCAGTCACGACAAATAAGCCTGGCTATCAAGAGATACAATTACAACAGAATTCAAATAAGTTCATTTCATATTGAACATTGTCGTAAGGCGATTTTGTGTTGAAGGGAAACAGACAATTACATGCATCGAAAATTCGCGATGCATAGCGACAACACCAGCCAACGCAAGCTGTGACCATCTTTCCCCATATCTGACTTGATGAACCACATTGGACAAGACTCCTCACCCACTAGAAATCTAGGCAATACCATTCCAGAGTAAGTCAGTCACTGGTGTCAACGATGGATTAATAGATTCTTAAATTTATAAAATTGAATAAAGTTCGTCCACAGATTGACACCAGTTAGAGAAACACTGAAAACCAGCTGGGAATACTGAACAGTTGGTTGTTTCATGGTAGTGCGGGTAATCATTTGTAGGACATACCAGTTGCGGTTCCAACTATATACTTTCTGGTTACAAGTCAAGCTCGTGGACTATCACGCCTCATGAATTCTGACATCCAACACTTCAGGATGTTTTGTGCTGCCTCCAGTTGAAATAAATCAAATGGCCAATTCTTGAAACTTATTCTGATGCTTGATGGTGACTGGCTGCAGGACGACGTTGTCTGGAATTGTGATGAGAAGTTATGATGAATGAGGTGCACTCGATTGGAAGTGAGAAGAGATACTCACCGATGAGATTGGCTGGTTGTCGTGAGAAAAATCACGAATTGGTAGAAGTGAGAAATCACAGACTGAATATTAATTTGGGTCTGGTGTCTGAATGTTCAATCAGCTTCCCTTGTTTACCAAGGGGTAGAGTGTTTGCAACACAGTAGTGTGTGTGCTGATGATGAGTTCAAAATCAGAACAAAACACCTGGCTGTCCAGTACTCTCACCTGGTTTCCAGTGGTTCTGTAATTGATATCAATCCGTAGTCTAAATTGAAACAAGTCGAATGCGTGCAAATTGACTCTTTCAAATTGTGTCAATCCACAACTGTGTATAAATATCACTCCATCTTTATTCACAGGTAGGAAAGATAAATGAAACACAGTGAACGTGGACTGTTCATCAACTGACAAATTTTCATTCTTTGATGGTGGTGGTGTGGTGGTGGTGGTGTAATACTAATTCATATTAATAAACATTTTCTCTTTTTCAAAATCAGTTCTACCAACAACCAGTCGTTGTGTCTTTCATATGATCCACTTCTGTGCTTCAAGTTTAATATTTGGACACACACAAACACACGCTGTATCGATTGAAACCGACGTGTTACTGTGTGAACTCAGGAGACCGATCTTTGCCTACCCTTGTCTAGCTGACTTAAACTTCGTTCAGCCAGACACAGTAGAGAACTGTCCCGACACTCGTATAAACATAGTTAATTGTGATGAAATCTCAGGTACAAGTGAACAGTGATAAAATATCGAAAAGCGGAAATACCTCAACAATCCTGCTAGGCAGTGATGCACATCTCATTCGTTATCAGTTGCAAACCGAGCACTGTCCAACCGTAAGAAGCACCTGAGAATCCGAAAGAATATTGCCAGCAATGCAAGATCGAAAGTTGGTCAGCGACAGCCATGCACCAAACACTCCCAACAGACACTTTCAGACACACTCAAAATTCACAGGGCGAAACTTGATCTCATTCGAACGCAAAATCACTAGAAGAAGGAGAAATTGTCAATGTTATCACACAACGACAAAGAGATGCACTGAAATTACAGATCGAACAGTAAGAAAGACAACTACTGAGAATTTAGTCAACAGATGACACGCGGATGTCTAGAGAGTGATTATACAGTCTGAGAGAGAAACGGCTAATAATCACGAAGTTAGTAGGAATGTCTCAGTAAACAACAATATTGCAATAAATTCGGTAGAAGATGTGTTTCCCAAACAATCATCGCGTTACAATCACCACTATCAAACTCTAATATATCGCTCGCTCGTGAATAAATCCAGTTGAGTATGCCTGTGAAGCAATAAGTGAAGTCACTGAAAACTGACATTGATAAAATTGAAAGAGGACATAGGCAAATGAAATGGCCTTCTCTATGGAAGGACTAGCTTCGTAGGGCAATATTCACAATACTTCAGTCTCGTAGTCATCCAATATAAAACCAAATTGATCTGATGCTTGGCAAATAAATAGAGGAGGATGTGTACAGATAATTCCTTGGAAAATACATCGAGATGCACACATAACGCGCGAGTCCGAATGAGTTATCCTAGTTAATATGTAATTAGGCACATGCTTATTGTCTACAGTTCAAAACGGAAATGTCTTTTCCTGAAGTCACAATTCAAAATGGGTCGTGGCTATTGAAGTCCTCCACCTCAGACTAACCAGAACCATGAAACGGACTTCTACTGCTGCTGCCACCCTCCACTCATCACTTTAAAACTGAGTGATTATAGTCGCTGAGGTGGAGGATGAGCTAGCCAGTCGTCTAGGTCTAACACTTCTCTGTGCCATTGTAAGTGTAGCTGTTCCTGTAGAGAAAGCTTCGTAAAGGGCGAACAAATAGAGGCTGTGTAACAGACTCACCACGCAGCATCTTCTTCCGTTGCCAAACAGAAAACGGAAGAAGCTCTATCTCACCTCATTTGATCTTTGATAATTATGACGATGATAGCAATCAATGAGAGGTCACTTCATTCACTTATCTAGGTAGCCAGCATCCTTTCAACTACATGAGGTGTGGCGTGTACTACTGAAAACAGTTATCGGTAGTATATGAAGAGACATTGTCGTGTATGAAAACATCAGACAGCAGGAGGATAGATTTGACGTCTATGCGAGGGAGAGAGCGAATGATTCAGAGTTCTGAAGTGACATGGGAGACGTGAAAGTAACACAAAGAAACACAATATAGAATTAAAGGCAGAAGTAGCCCAACACTGAAGAACTGAGCAAGTGTTGATTTGAAGATGAGTTGCACATCATTTCGTGATATAGCGACGCCGAAATCAAAATAAACATTCCTTACTTAGTCTCTCATCTCTTACCGTTACAATCGATGTCGCTGCATCCAGACGACAAAGATACAGTGGTCGGCTTCTTTTGCGGAAAGAGACACACGGAGATTCTCGCGTAATTTTGAGGCTACCGCTGAATCGGTAGGTGTCGAGTGTCCGATGGCGAAAGTGGTCGTGATGAGACTCGTCCTGAGAGGTCGAACGAAGACAGATTACAACAGTGTGTTGTGGTCAGGTGAGAAGGAGACCTGGTAGGTGTTGGTTGAACAGTTGGTAGCAGAGTTCAACAGCCCTACGGAGTGGCAGCTGTCGATGAAGCAGTTCCATCTCGTGAAGCTGACATCCTGTGGATACCCATTTGTGTTGTTGATGAAGCAGACGAATTCACTAGGTCACGCACTCCCCACATTGCATGAAGTGTCGAAGTCGTAGCCATCGGCGTCTCAGTTCATCAGGAGTGTTGCAGGACACAGTTATCAGCAACTACAACTGGTTAACACAGCACAACCACTCATGAACAGTCACCGATGAGCTAGCATAGGTGACCAGGCAGCTGCAGAACGCAACGGTAGCAGCAATAGTGTCACTGAGCCGGTATCACCTTGATACCACCGTTGAAAATGAACACCACTGTTGCTGCTACTGCCACTGAAATTTCAAATCGCAAGCTTGTCACTGTTTCTTCCGCTGTAATGCAAAAGAATCAAATGAGTAAGAATTTCGTGGAAAGCTGATACTCTGTGTTCAACGCGTTTGCAGCTGAGCAAACCCCTATTTCACTAAAATACAAGCGACGCGACTCACCATCAATTTTAGTGCAATAATACAAGAATACACTTCAGTGGTAATCAGATAACCAAGTTCTCTCATCTACTTATTTGTAAGAGATTTGCTGCACTTAAGTGAATGAGTACTGCAGTGAAGTATCCTGTGTTAATCACAAAATAAATTCAACATGCACTGTATGAGAACAGTTTCAATACACTTTCATGTTCACAGGCAATTAGAAGCACGTTTCACTGTATCCTCAGATTTCTGTTGGGAATCTCACATGCGATTTTCACACAGTAACATGAAATGCACTGATATCGGATGTTGTGAAGTGAATTTAGTCTCTCTGTTTCTCACCACTAATTTCTACTTATTATTTCACTATTAATTATTAGTAGTAGTTGTATACCCTTAGGTTGTGAGTGAGACAGTGGAATTCCATGACACATCTCCACTTCATGTAGTTCTCTGAAGTCCAACTAAATTGAATCCACGATTACCCATCAGCTCTCTCTTCACCTCCATGCATTATCTCTTCCATGTCACTAACAAATCAATGCCCTGAGGCGCGACGCCGCTCAGCCGATTCCTATGCATCGGTCTAATCCAACGCTGTTTAGTTCTGCATATTTGGAAGTGAGAAGACCCAAGGAATTCTTTTCGGTGAATTCATTCACATAGGTTCATTTTCACTCACTGAATGAATGGAAACCACAATAGAGGCAGTGTCCTTGGAAGAGTCTGTTTTCGGCGAATTCATTCTCACTCTTAGCTGAACAATCCTATTTATATATGATCATTGCGTGAAACACGTTTATGCTACTGTGATGAGGCGTCACAATCATGGTTGTTAATACTAGTCAATCGGTGCATGAGAGGAGTTGAGTAAGTGTATCAGAGCTAATCAGCACGATGAAGTAATGAATGAATGAATGAATGACTTGTAATTAGGATGATCGAAGAAACGAAGGGAAATGTGAAATTACGTGGAGGCTTTGAAGAACTTCAAGAGTTATAAAGAGTTGAAAAGCGGGCGAACAAAGCAACAGCAATGCACGAGAGACGAAAGCGTGTTTTCTGTAGTGCCTTTTTCTTTACTCTATAGGAGGCGTGTGTTGAGTCAGAATGCTCAGTGTTACCAGTGTGTTCGATTATCGCAGTGCTTAGGCAGTCTACATGCAGACAAATGTCATCTCTGACAAACTCCTTGTTTCTTGTCATTCCACAGTTGACAGAAAATGCATCAGGGAGACACTGCAAATCAGAACAACTTCTCTCTCTATACTCCTGTTGAAATATCGACAGAAGGAAGCAAATCAGCAAAATGCTTCCCAATTTGAAGCATGAACCGTAAAACGTTTTGATCAAGATCACTTGACAACCTCCTGAGCATCACTTCCTGATACAGCGAATTGTAAATGAATGGGTCTGAGTCTCATGATCTTCAACAGGTGCAATGAAGTCAATAACTACGAGAAGGAGATTTTGGTTTTAACAGAGAGACAGACAGACAGAGTGAAGATGGAGTATCTGCGAGGATGAAGATGTTGAAAGACACGACTCTTCAATAATTGACTCCCTAAACAAGCCCTTTCAGAGTAAAGCAAGTTGCAATTACCAACTAGGCTGAAGGAGGATGCAGTGTTTAGCATTCACTGCATGCTAATTAGTGATCCTTAAACCTTATGTGTTTTCGCGAGCTATGATCATTTTTATAACCAATAAGCTTGATAAAACGAAACCAGCATTTATTGATTGCTCTAAACTTCAGGAGGTATCAAACATTAATGACTCGAAAGCAGACGATACAACAGAGGTTCAGTTCTAACGCATTTGCATGAAACACCATGATCACTAACGAGTTCTTACTGTGAATTACAAGCAACACGAAATACAAACGATCACGAAACTGTCTCAGTACTAAGACTAGATTTCAATTTTTTATGAATGACAGCATGGTAATGTAAAACTGTCCGTAAATGTTTGGCAGACTTTCCTCAACCAATTTCTAATGATATGTGGGCGATAGTTTTCGTAGTGTGTTAGAAATACAAAAAGGAAATGAAAGTCCAGCATTCATCGTCCGGATTCAACAGTGTGTCTCCAATGGAAACATTAGACTAATTATCTTACTAACTGACCGATGAAGACGCATAGCTTGATATTACTCAATGTTATTAAAGTGGCTTCTTCTGTGGTGCGTAATCAACCTACACATTTCCTTTGACAAAATTTGTTGAGGTCATTAACTCTTAATAGTTAGATGCCTTCATCGTCAAATTCTACGCTACAGGAGATTTACCTAGTGAAATTAGAGGATGGCTCACTCGCCATCTCTCTACCTAATCGTTGTCTCTGAAACATAGGGAAAATGCATCACGTTCCACATGTTGATAAAATTCTCTCTTCGCATTAATATACCACTTATTCATCGACAAATATGTTGGAGACACATTTTCACCAGTGTATACGGAGCAGAGTTATTCAATCTAGAGATCAAGCGTCCGTCTTCACGCATGGTATGTAAACAAAATTATATATTCGTATTTCGCTGTGGTATATCGAGTTGCCATCAACCAGTTTTACAAATTAAAATGGTGCTTGAAGTAACCCTGAGCTGGATCCCTTCGAACTGATAATGCCAGTGAATGGAAGTATGAGACACAAACTGGAAAGGAAAAGCTGAGTGCTTTCACTTGGTCTGACTTCAGATTGTGTCACAACTCACTGTGAATACCAGCTACCTGACCAATAACGTACCAAATCAATTTACCTATTTCGATTGACTTTATCGATCAAAACTAAATCAATAAACGTCTCAGATATCGACACTTATTTTCTGCATTGCCTCATCTAGTGAACACAAACTAAACTGTCACTAGTCTACGTGGTCATGAAGAGATTACTGTGCAAACGATCAGATGACTAAAAAACTATGATCGATAAATAACATGAACGCTACGAACCGTCATAATAATTATAGTTGTACTAAGGAAATGGATTTCTCACAATTTCAGCAAGAGAAAGTCAATATACTGAGATCAATGAAGCGAACGACTCAGTTTTTAGAAGAATTACTAGAATGCATTTCAAAGAATGACAAGGAAGAGTAATTAAGATTTCATTGAGCAGACACTGATAAGTATGTTATCTTGATGATCTAGTAGAATCTCTTTCACTCGCCACCTTACGTTTGAACTGTCAATGAACATGGTCTGACAATCTGAAATTCACTGTCAACTTAGAATACGTGGTGGCAATCTGATAATCCCTCTACATCGTCTGGTCTGAAAGGAGATAGAGAAGACACACAATGCTATCTGGAATGTTCTGTCTCCTTCGTTCTGGGTATGGACACCCACAATGTCAAGCTTTATCGCATTGAAAGCATCAGTCACTTCTGCCACTCATCCGCAGCACTGCTACTTCACACTGCAAATCTTCAAATTTCTGTTTCCATTCGTTCAATTTCGGTGGATCTATTGCTGCTACCGTTGCGTTCTGCAGCTGCCTGGTCACCTATGCTAGCTCATCGGTGACTGTTCATGGGTGGTTGTGCTGTGTTAACCAGTTGTAGTTGCTGATAACTGTGTCCTGCAACACTCCTGATGAACTGAGACGCCGATGGCTACGACTTCGACACTTCATGCAATGTGGGGAGTGCGTGACCTAGTGAATTCGTCTGCTTCATCAACAACACAAATGGGTATCCACAGGATGTCAGCTTCACGAGATGGAACTGCTTCATCGACAGCTGCCACTCCGTAGGGCTGTTGAACTCTGCTACCAACTGTTCAACCAACGCCTACCAGGTCTCCTTCTCACCTGACCACAACACACTGTTGTAATCTGTCTTCGTTCGACCTCTCAGCACGAGTCTCATCACGACCACTTTCGCCATCGGACACTCGACACCTACCGATTCAGCGGTAGCCTCAAAATTACGCGAGAATCTCCGTGTGTCTCTTTCCGCAAAAGAAGCCGACCACTGTATCTTTGTCGTCTGGATGCAGCGACATCGATTGTAACGGTAAGAGATGAGAGACTAAGTAAGGAATGTTTATTTTGATTTCGGCGTCGCTATATCACGAAATGATGTGCAACTCATCTTCAAATCAACACTTGCTCAGTTCTTCAGTGTTGGGCTACTTCTGCCTTTAATTCTATATTGTGTTTCTTTGTGTTACTTTCACGTCTCCCATGTCACTTCGGAACTCTGAATCATTCGCTCTCTCCCTCGCATAGACGTCAAATCTATCCTCCTGCTGTCTGATGTTTTCATACACGACAATGTCTCTTCATATACTACCGACAACTGTTTTCAGTAGTACACGCCACACCGCATGTAGTTGAAAGGATGCTGGCTACCTAGATAAGTGAATGAAGTGACCTCTCATTGATTGCTATCATCGTCATAATTATCAAAGATCAAATGAGATGAGATAGAGCTTCTTCCGTTTTCTGTTTGGCCTGTTTTGTGCAACGGAAGAAGATGCTGCGTGGTGAGTCTGTTACACAGCCTCTATTTGTTCGCCCTTTACGAAGCTTTCTCTACAGGAACAGCTACACTTACAATGGCACAGAGAAGTGTTAGACCTAGACGACTGGCTAGCTCATCCTCCACCTCAGCGACTATAATCACTCAGTTTTAAAGTGATGAGTGGAGGGTGGCAGCAGCAGTAGAAGTCCGTTTCATGGTTCTGGTTAGTCTGAGGTGGAGGACTTCAATAGCCACGACCCATTTTGAATTGTGACTTCAGGAAAAGACATTTCCGTTTTGAACTGTAGACAATAAGCATGTGCCTAATTACATATTAACTAGGATAACTCATTCGGACTCGCGCGTTATGTGTGCATCTCGATGTATTTTCCAGGGAATTATCTGTACACATCCTCCTCTATTTATTTGCCAAGCATCAGATCAATTTGGTGTTATATTGGATGACTACGAGACTGAAGTATTGTGAATATTGCCCTACGAAGCTAGTCCTTCCATAGAGAAGGCCATTTCATTTGCCTATGTCCTCTTTCAATTTTATCAATGTCAGTTTTCAGTGACTTCACTTATTGCTTCACAGGCATACTCAACTGGATTTATTCACGAGCGAGCGATATATTAGAGTTTGATAGTGGTGATTGTAACGCGATGATTGTTTGGGAAACACATCTTCTACCGAATTTATTGCAATATTGTTGTTTACTGAGACATTCCTACTAACTTCGTGATTATTAGCCGTTTCTCTCTCAGACTGTATATCACTCACTCTCTAGATATCCGCGTGTCATCTGTTGACTAAATTCTCAGTAGTTGTCTTTCTTACTGTTCGATCTGTAATTTCAGTGCATGTCTTTGTCGTTGTGTGAGAACATTGACAATTTCTCCTTCTTCTAGTGATTTTGCGTTCGAATGAGATCAAGTTTCGCCCTGTGAATTTTGAGTGTGTCTGAAAGTGTCTGTTGGGAGTGTTTGGTGCATGGCTGTCGCTGACCAACTTTCGATCTTGCATTGCTGGCAATATTCTTTCGGATTCTCAGGTGCTTCTTACGGTTGGACAGTGCTCGGTTTGCAACTGATAACGAATGAGATGTGCATCACTGCCTAGCAGGATTGTTGAGGTATTTCCGCTTTTCGATATTTTATCACTGTTCACTTGTACCTGAGATTTCATCACAATTAACTATGTTTATACGAGTGTCGGGACAGTTCTCTACTGTGTCTAGCTGAACGACGTTTAAGTCAGCTAGACAAGGGTAGGCAAAGATCGGTCTCCTGAGTTCACACAGTAACACGTCGGTTTCAATCGATACAGCGTGTGTTTGTGTGTGTCCAAATATTAAACTTGAAGCACAGAAGTGGATCATATGAAAGACACAACGACTGGTTGTTGGTAGAACTGATTTTGAAAAAGAGAAAATGTTTATTAATATGAATTAGTATTACACCACCACCACCACGACCACCACCATCAAAGAATGAAAATTTGTCAGTTGATGAGCAGTCCACGTTCACTGTGTTTCATTTATCTTTCCTACCTGTGAATAAAGATGGAGTGATATTTATACACAGTTGTGGATTGACACAATTTGAAAGAGTCAATTTGCACGCATTCGACTTGTTTCAATTTAGACTACGGATTGACATCAGTTACAGAACCACTGGAAACCAGGTGAGAGTACTGGACAGGCAGGTGTTTTGTTCTGATTTTGAACTCATCATCGGCACACACACTACTGTGTTGCAAACACTTGATACCCTTGGTAAACAAAGGAAGCTGATTGAACATTCAGCCACCAGACCCAAATTAATATTCAGTCTGTGATTTCTCACTTCTACCAATTCGTGATTTTTCTCACGACAACCAGCCAATCTCATCGGTGAGTATCTCTTCTCACTTCCAACCGAGTGCACCTCATTCATCATAACTTCTCATCACAATTCCAGACAACGTCGTCCTGCAGCCAGTCACCATCAAGCATCAGAATAAGTTTCAAGAATTGGCCATTTGATTTATTTCAACTGGAGGCAGCACAAAACATCCTGAAGTGTTGGATGTCAGAATTCATGAGGCGTGATAGTCCACGAGCTTGACTTGTAACCAGAAAGTATATAGTTGGGACCGCAACTGGTATGTCCTGCAAATGATTACCCGTACTACCGTGAAACAACCAACTGTTCAGTACTCCCAGCTGGTTTTCAGTGTTTCTCTAACTGGTGTCAATCTGTGGACGAACTTGATTCAATTTTATAAATTTAAGAATCTATTAATCCATCGTTGACACTAGTGACTGACTTACTCTGGAATGGTATTGCCTAGATTTCTAGTGGGTGAGGAGTCTTGTCCAATGTGGTTCATCAAGTCAGATATGGGGAAAGATGGTCACAGCTTGCGTTGGCTGGTGTTGTCGCTATGCGTCGCGAATTTTCGATGCATGTAATTGTCTGTTTCCCTTCAACACAAAATCGTCTTACGACAATATTCAATATGAAATGAACTTATTTGAATTCTGTTGTAATTGTATCTCTTGATAGGCAGGCTTATTTGTCGTGACTGGTCGTCAATTTGTATCTCTAATCATCGTTTCTGTTTCGATTAAGCCTCATCTTTCTGTGAATATTCTCACTGATTTTCAGGTAACTTGCAATTTTGACTGGACAGTTAATTTTTTGTAACTGAGTAGTCTTTTGACTGCAAAGCTACCGGAAGACATTTTTAATGAAGTTTTGTATTTCTGACACAGGTTATTATTTTGTTGAATAGTGTCACAGGTTTTATCAGGTGGAGATGTCTTTCGGCATTGTTGGAAGATAATTTTCGCATGTGTGTTGCTTGCAGCAATTTGACAGGCTATGCAACAGAACTGCCAGTGAATACTGATTGTTTAACAAAATCAAAGGACTTGAAGACCAGAAAGTTATAGGAAGGCGTTGGAAATCCGATGTAGCACTCGAGAAGCACTGGCGACGGACATAGGTGCCCTAGTGGAAGTGCTTACGCCACTACCGTGAATGTGGATAGCCATGCGTAGATGAAATGACAACTCTACTCATTGTCACCGAACACAGCATAGAACGGCGAGCTTGTAAGAAGAAGACCATCAAGATCATCGACTACGAAGTAATTTGAAAGTTGGCTGAGCACCTCAAAGTGTGATGCTGCAAACAGACTTAAACTTCATTCACGAATCCAACTATAGGTCATCAGCCTTATTCCAGGTAATTCTCATTTCAATGCCCATCCAAGCGTTGAAGTGTTGATAGTAGTAAGACAAGGCTAAGAGCTATCACCGATTATCTTCTTGGTTGGGATGATTGGACTGTGCAACAGACTGTGAGTAATCATAAGACCATCAAACATCGAAGTGATGGAAGATTTGAGCTCTTTATTATAGCTTGATTCCACACAGTATTTTAGTACAAGTATAAAAGTTTCAGCATGTGAAATCGGTAGCCCAAATTTAGCATGCGGACCGTTGATATCAGGTGCGCGTTGGTCGCGGATTGAACATCGGACCATGTTGCAAGAATGGCGAGCATCCTAACCACTGTGCCGCTGACGCACAAAGAAGATGTATGCCTCATTTTCGGACAAACTCAGATATGTATATATACCAAAGCGCCAGACTGAGAGGAGCATCAGTAACAGGAGATCAGGCTGAATAAAAGGAGATAGAAAGGTTCACGATAGCTGGTTAACGACAACAGTTGACGACTGCTATCAGAGAGAGTAATCCAAGAGAAATAGTTTCTTTCACTAGGTGGAGCGCGATTCTTCTTACTATAGTATGGATGCATAACGATTTCAAAACCCGAATCGGTGAGGCGCGATAGAATTCCATTCCTCAAAGTTTAGTTTGTAAATCTACTGTACTACTCAACGTAAACATCAATGCTAATTCACTTCCTCTGCATGCCTCAGGAATTTGGAGTGCAACCAAAAGCATTTCCAACAGGCTACTGCAGAATTTTATCAATGGCTGTCTTTGTTGGCACCATATTGAAGATCAGATGGTCGGCTGAAAAGAATCAGCAATGAGGAGCTGTGTCATCGAACTAACAGACGGGTAACGTTCGCTCAACAAATATTTCGAGGAGAATTGGGATAGATTAAATGTACTTCAAGAAGTCGACTGACTGACTAGTATCACACACGCCAAGCTCTCGAGTGGAATCTCAATAGGAAGAGACGTGGTGAGCTGGCTTCCTAGATTGACGCCGAGAAGATTAGATGGAGACGGAATGAAAGCTTGTGGTGGTCAGTGTCGTTTTCGAGAGTAGTCGAGATTGGTTGCAGAGGGAGAGAGAGCCGAGACCAATAATGAAGTACACATCTCAGGCTGTATATTCGCCTCAGAACTGAAGGAGTACACGAGTGAGTAATAATGACAATAGTAGTAATAGTAATAATAATAATAGTAATGATAGAAATAGTAATTACAAGACAGCTCAATACGAGCAAAATGAATAGTATGTAGTTTGCCTCGAAATCACTTACCAAATTCATGTAAACCCTCTCGAAACATTGTATTGACAGCTGTTATGATAATACTCAATGGTATCTGCCCTAAACATAAATGTATTTATTACTGTATCAGTGAAATTTGAACTTACTGGGAAACCTGTCAATTCTGAACTTCTCAAACTTTTGTACTTCAGAAATCATTTGAACTAAACATGTGAAATAATGTCAGGGAGAAATATTAATTGAGCAGATATCTTCGTAGAAACAGGTGAGTATTTAAATAGCATATTGCCTATTTCTCCTCCTTCTCATTTCAGTGTTTGTGTCTAGATTATATGAGTCATGATACGAATAAATGTCATGCTCCGGTTGGAGGCGATTGGCATGCAGAAAGCTCTGCCTGACACTCTGGTGTCCTGCTTATTTTGGAGTCAGGTATTCATCACTCAGCAATGACCTACCTGCAATCTTGAAGGAACAACTCGTTTCTCTTCTGAGATTCGAACTCCCGGTCACCCAACGCTACATGCAGTCAAAGAGGCTACCACTGAGCTTGACTGGCTCGCCATCCAGCTCCTCTGATGTTGCGATGGATCCTCTAGTTGAGCACTAGGAAGAAATGACTGTACTACGTCTGGTCTGTGTTGCTTGTACAGAGTGAATTTTATTAATCAAGTCTGCAATGTGACCACCATGTCAGGTGGCTCAAGTTGATGTGAGAGATAGAGATGGATAGAGGGAGAGAGAGGCAGATTTGAATACTTTTCAGACATCTCAATGATACGATGAAACCAAACTGAAAATGTACTCAACATATGTTGGTGAGACGTATATTACATGTGTGAGAGTGAAAATCAAGCAGAGAATCGACTCAAGCTATTCAATTTAGTTTACACAATTGTCACAGACACAGACACACACCGACGAAATGCAACAAGCTGGTAGAAGAGGCATGTAGCGAAGACAAGTTTTCAAATGAACATAGAGAGAAAAGCGGTGAAGAAGATAACCAACCAAACACCACCACCAGCAACAAGACAAACAGGAAACACCAAACACTGTCAGTTGGGGAAATTTGAAGGAATTTGCTTCTTTCATTGATCTCGACAGTCAGCATCGTTTCAGCTACACTTAGTTGACACGGATGGAGATGTCAAAGCTGGTCTGGTTCGGAGTCGAAAGGCAGAACTGCATTACTCCGAAATCACTTTGTAAATCTCCGGCACTAAACACAAAGAACAAGATTCGTTCAGTTCTTCTTCACATTTGAGAGACTTGACGTATTATGAAAAGCATTTCCAACAGGCCACTACAGACTTCTCTCTCACTCCGTACTGATGATCAGATAGTTAAAATGGATGAGCGATGGGAAACTCTAGCAACGAACCAATCAAGAACCTGTTGCCGGACAAATAGACAGGGGAAATAGAAATGAATCGGACACACGCTGAAAAGACAGTTTAGTGGAATTATGCGCCATGCCAGGCGTCGAACGAAACCCGAATGTAGAGCGATGAGTTGTGCGTCAGAAGGTGAAATTGGGAAGATGGTGTGTGAAGTAAACGGAGGCTAATGGAGAATCATGGAGTGAGATGAAGACAACTTTAGCAAACAGAATCAAATGGACCTGAGTCTTACTAAGAAATGAAGATGGCTATGTATAATCAAATGGGATTTAACAGACGTCGACTTGGACAGGTCAATATTCAACACTTAACAACTTCTCTCCTATTTCACTACAAAAGAAATCCAGTCAATGCTTCTTCTCACCGGCCCCTGGATCGTGTGTTCTCAAGAGTTGACCGATGAATAATTGGGTCGAATTCGCCAAGTAGCCATCGGCAATGGATACCCCGCTAGGTTTATCAGTGAATATTTCAAGTGAAATAATGAGAATTCGATTGAAATAATTTTACGAAAGAAGAATGCATTCTTCAGATTGCAATTCAGTTAAGGCGACAGAATGAGTTTACGAGATATTCGCCGACCGCAGAACACATGTATTGCTGTAGCGTGTCCCACTGCGAAATCAGAAGTAGCTGTAGTATTAGATTAGTGATGGTAGTAGTAGTCCACAATACGAAGAACACGTTCAGGGAAACGAATATGGATGTGAGAGTGCCTCACGAAACCTGAAACTGCATTCATTCATTTACCTGTACTTGCAGCACAATATATAGGGGAAGAACTGTGAGGGTACATACAAAGAGGATTTATGAACATGCTCGAAAATTATTCTCATTTGGTGAATGACTGCCTGGTAGCCTTCCGAATGGCAGAAAGACAGTAAGAATTGGCTACCACGACATAGAGAAGCAGCAGAGATCGAACAACAGGTGCCTTATTGATGCGTACAGCAGGATTTTGTGATCCACCCTGGATTGTCTTGTTGATTCGTTGTTTCTTCACTTGCATCTTCATCGCTTTTGTCATCTCCTTACACTGATTAAACATAGTTCACATTTGTGACACTTTTCATGACTCAATATGATAAGAATACGTCTGCCGTGAATAAACCATTGAAATAGAAATGATAACTGTGATCAACTGTGCCGTAGCCAGCTGGCTTTACTTCAAGGATTTAGTTTGCAAGGATTCGATTGGTTCCATGTTTGGATCACGGATTGATATCAGTAAGAGAATAATTGAAGAGCAGCTGGAAGTACTGGCCAGCTAGTTGTCCATTCCTAGTTTGCGATTTACGGACAGGACACATGCATGAACTCACCTGTTGTCGGTGGAACCGAGGAAATTCAGGTTATGACGCTTGCTAGTGACTGACTCAATACGAAGTTGACTGGAGTTCTAGTGATGAGTCTCAAATAACAGGGTTCACCATGCGGAATGTGACGACAAATACTCGCCTACGACATTGCCTGGTGGATGCGATAAAATCACGAAGTACTACTTGCTGGAATTCAAGAGCCGGTGGAGTATGGCCTCTATTGGTTGAATGCCGAACAAGCTTGTTCCCATAGCTTGCAGGTCCTTGGCTCAATCATCGATGAAAGCGCGTCAGCGTACTGTCGAACAACCTCGAAATAAGGAGGAACAGCTTATGAGTGCTCCTTGATTGTCTGCAATGGTTCTCCTACTGATCTCAAACTACGATCAAACTTGAAGGAAATCGAATCCTTATAGAATAACTCCTGAATATTCTATGACAATCTCATCCTCGCGAAATTTCCCTCCAAGTGTGATGCAACAGCTTTTCAACACGTGTTATGTGGGTGAAGTTACGCGTCTCCTGCAGATATACACACAGGCCTTCTTTGTTTTATTTTGCAAAGTGTTATCAGTATTTGAAATTGCTTCACAGCAGAGGGAAACAGCATTGCAAGCACAAAATTTGTCACTTACCAACAGCATTTTTGAATTCAGATATTTTTTCATTTGTCGAATTTGATTTCGTCAGGAATTCATCGACAGCTGTGAAGAAAATATGAGGATATTGATAGAAGTGGTTAGCAGGCACATAGGATTGAAGAAAGCCAGGTCATTCAAAAGTTATGAGTGACAAGTATATATTTGTTTTGCATGCCTTGAGCTCTGAGTGAAGCACATGGCCTCAGAGAACTTGAAATATTGATATTACAGAGGATGAGGTGTAAGTTTAAAGTCATCCGTTGGGAGTCGGTCTTGGGACCGCGTGATTGGCTGGCGAGAATTCTACCGCTGAACCTCTCACGCAAGTGGATACACAGGACATTTGTTTCATATTCATCTAGAGGGTAGGTGATATTGAGTGAATAAACGGAAGTGGGATTAGTTTACATCACTGCTTGTCATTAGTTAGAGAACTGGTGAAATCCCGTAGATGGTGAACAGCTGCTTTGAGCAAGAGTGATATGAGTTGCATATTGTCAGAGAATTGAAAATGGATTGTTTTCCAGAGAAGATCAACAACATGCACCAATTTATTTCAGTAGGAGAAATTGAATGTGGTCAATTCCTTCACGTATCTATACAGAGAGATCCGTTTCAACCACAGTTATTCATTTCTTCTGAACCGGTCAGAAACTTTGCTGTATCACTTAAACCATTTGCTAGAAATGACTGCAGACGTTTACCAGCAGCGCCCTTCTCTGCCTAGATGCCGAAGATCAAATGTCTTCCTAGAAAGCATTCGTAAATTTGAACTCTGTCAACAAATCAACCAAGAACCTGTCACCTAACAAACATTCAGAAAAAATTATAGATTGATTAGACACACAATGAGGAGACTGTCCATGGTTATCTCACATGCTTGACAAAACGTCCCAACCACAAAACAAGCGAGAGTGCAGCTTGAATTCAAATGAAGTTGAGATGGGAAGTGATGATCAGTCGTGGAGTCTGCTCAAGACAATTGCAGAAATGAGTGTGAGTCGAGAGATGATTTTCAAGTCCTAGGTTCCATTCGGAACCTAAGAGAAAAATCACAATAATTACATGGTAAAATATACATCACGTATGAAATGCGTGTATGGATAGTTGCTTTGGTGAAAAGACGTAATGTTGTTGTCAGTTGAGCAGAACAGGTACTACTATGCTAAGTAGGACGAATCCAGATTCACTGCAGACACTCTTATTCACCCTTGCATATCAGTCACAAGAACATTTCATGGTGACAATCAGGAATCACAGATATCACATTAAACCATGAACAGTAAATTGATCTCATTGCAGGTGTCGGTGATATCTGATGAGGTTGCTGGTGTTGCTGGTCAGTCGACGCAGCGATTTGGCAATTAGACATCAACAACCATACAAACTGGAACTCACCATTTCGATCTAGTTGCATTCCTGACATTTGAAAACATTTCCGCTCAACATTATCTGGACAAGGAGAGATAAAATGAAATGAATCAAACTGCAAGATAATCCGACTAAAAAGTCAACGTGAAATGTGTGTTCTCCGTGTCCACATATTACTGTTCATTCCAAACGCACGCATACACACTTGATAGGGGAAGCATGTGCAAATGAGGCTGGTTATTCATCGTGTCTGATAAATTACTCACTCTGGTGTTGTAGTTCATGTGAGAGTAGAATTTCGTCATTATGGTAGGATAATACATCCACGTTGGATGAGTGTTTTCTCGTGTAGTTGTGTTCACTGAGCTTGATGGTTTAGTTGAGAAGCTGTCACCGCCTTACTAGACAACATCATCAGCCACTCGAGAGTCCTCTCAACCACTCACGATGAACTAGCCCCAATAATTGCTACTGCATGTTTCGAGAAAATAAAGTGGAATTCGTGTTTGAAATGCAACATTTGTTCAAACATTTGTTTACCTCTTGATTGCACGAATTCCTTTTCCATAGATACCTGCAAGTCTTCTTCGGCAAGAAGTACACCTAATGAAGAGCAGACGTCAATTAGAATGAGAGTGTCTTTTGAATATTGTTAGGTGAAATTTGAAATTAATTGTTTGTGGGTTTGAGTGAATGTGTAAAATTGAGTGTTTGTAGGCATGAGGTGTTGATATTGTATGTGTGTGTATGTAGATTAGACAAACACTTACATATGTGTCATTTACTCTGTAGGAACTCAGTACACGTTTGCAATGAAATAAGCGAAATATGTCATCGTTTAACTTCCAGTGAATGCATTGTGATTGATGACTTATTCTCTTAAGACCGTCTCCCTTACTCAGGTCAGTCATTCTCCATTGAACTGAATGCGTGTGATTCGACTTCCTGACTGACTGACTGACTGAGACCGATTGCACTGGCCGCACCTGTATAGCTGACATTGAAGTCAATATAAGGTGCTTTGTGCACATGGAATTACTCGCCTCTAATTGAGTGAACAGCCTCTTTCAGCGTACAGAGCTTGTCTTTCAGTGATTTTGTAGATTTCAGTGGCAGCCACATTCTCATACCGCCTTTTGTCGGAAACCTACATAGAATTTCAAATGTTTCTTCCTTCCTTGGTAAAACTGTATACTGCTTAAATCGTTTCTTATTTATGTTAGGACTGATATTTTGAGCTTTACACATTTTCCTAATGAATTTAAATGGAGATATACTCATCACTGATGTTTCTGCTCTTTTTCTTTTGATTTCATGACTTCAGTTATTCGACGTATTAGTTGCGTCTTCTCATCGTTTCGAAGAAAATTATTCATGTCTGACGTTAATTCAAAAGATGTGTGTCTTCAGAAGCATTTCAAACAGAAAATATGTCAGAGAAAGTGGAGGTGGATCGGACAAAAGCTGATTAGACTGTCGTTTGACATGGCACATCACACCATCGTGGGTCCCACCGAGTCAAGTAAAAATACTACCAATAATAATAATAATAGCATTGCTCAGGACAGTGTTTAGAAAGCGTACGGAACTCTCAGCAGAGTTTATTGTATAATATATACTCTTCTTCCGGTATCCTACGTCATATGCGCAATTTCCTTGCATACATTCCAATAGCTACACATTTCTCACACTGTAGATGAATACATTATTACTTCATATAAATCTTTCATGCAGGTGGTTATTCAAAACTGAAATCATTCAGTCATCCATCTACCTTCGACATCTTCTTTGAAGTCTACTAAGAAAGCTGAATAAATTCGGATTTGTTTGCACTCAGCACAGTACATATCTGACAAGCGTCTTTCTTCTGTGTCCTCGAAAACATCAGACATATTCGTTGCTAGGAGACTAAAGTCAAATTTGACCAGACTGGAAGCGTCTCGGTTATGATCTCCACTCCCCTTCCACACAAGCACCACTGCCTGTTAGTCATCACTGCAGGTAACTGAACGACAGTCATTCATTCGGATAACGATACATATCACCCTAAACAAGGATTCACTGTAATCTCACTTGAAAAACAGCCATCAACACATGGTAGGAAGAGAAAATAAAACACCTCACACTCAAGATCACAAATTAGTTATTTACTTTACTACTATTTATAGAAGTTGGAATTCACGGATCATTGGGTCAGTTCGCAGTAGCGGAAAGAACTGCAACTACGTCTTGTAACTGAAAGCACTTTGGAAGAAAAGTCGTTAGGTGCGTACTGCTCAGGAGTACTGGAATGGGATGCAAAGTTTGTCCAGTACACCCTGCTTACTCCCACTGATTCCCTGACTGGTGTAGGCTGAAATCATACCTCTAAATAATCGCTAGAATTTCGATGTGATCAAACAAATACACATTCACTTCCCTTATTTCTGTTAACTCACTTTCATTAATGATTTTAGGATTCACCAGCTTGTTTGCAGTTGCAAAGTTCACAGCTGTCAATAAAAAACATCATGAATGTATCTCACAGTTCAAAAAACACACCATGAAAATGAGTAGACTTAGAATATGTTTCGTGAAACTTATTTCATAGGAGAGTATATGATGAAAACTGATAATTGTGAGTCGACAGTCGCTATTGTTGATTGTTTCCAGGTCAGTGAGATTTTTGGCATTAAAAAGATGAATGGTCAAAATTTTCGAAGTATGTCGTGCAGTTTTATGTCATGAGTAAGTTCGAGCAATTAGGCTTAATTGGATTGGTGTTCCAGTGTAGAGTTAAAACTCATTCATATCAAGCAACAAATTGACTGTATTTCCCACTGATTGAAAACTCCATTTTATATACCTGCTCATGCTGTCACTACTACAAATACTACTACTATTATCATTGTCCTGTGAAGAGTAGGGTCTAACAACCATTCAGCTGAAAAAAATGTTCACTGACAGGCATCCGACATACAAAATGCATGTCCTTCTCAAATAAATGCTTGGCTAATTATTCTTCTCCACAGGTGCCTTCACTATATAAGTACTGCTCCTACTACTATGTCCTGTGATCAGGAACTCTAAAGTTAGCGAAGAGATCTGTCGTGTTCCTAACTTCCATTCAAACATGTCAACATTCCGGTTGACACTCCAGTGATAGGCTGCCGTGTCATTTCATTCGACGGTCTCTTCACCGTGTGTCCCACTCATCTCATTTACTCCAGAATATTCAATGAACAATTGGCTATTGGTGAGTTTGCTTTCAGAGTTGCTTGCTGCTAATTCAGTGGTTGAATGCTGGAATCCACGGCAAATGTGTATGTGGTCCCTGTTTCAACTTCCGGTCGAAGTACAACTTCGCCTCACTCAGCTGATTTTCAGCCAGCAAAAATTGGAAGTATCACTGTGAGGCCAGATATCTCACTATGTAGATAACACAACAGTCATTCAAAGTTAAAAGATTGCGTTTGACAACGTATCTTCCACTCGAAGCACAAACGAACGAAAAAATAAGCAACAACAAAAATTCTTTCTATCCAACTCACCTTCTGTAAGGAGCGAAACAATCGCATCCTGATCAAAGTCTGCAGCAGTCTGTTGGGGATGCTGTCATGAAACGCATGTCAAATCGCCGAACTATTTAGAAGAACGAGTCAATATTGCTGTTGAAGTCAAAATTATGTTCATTATGATGAGTGAATTAGATTTCCAAACTGACTTCAGAATCATGAAGGTCTGTTTCGCCCCTCTCATTCTCACTGTCTTTTACATCGTCATCCATGACGCTGCTTGTAGTTGAAACCGCATTTCCTGGCTGACTGAGTGAAGGCAGTGATCTCTTTCAAATTCCTCCCACTGATACTGACTGGTGTTGTTTGTTGTTGATTGGTTGGTTGGTTAGTAGCTTATCTTCATGATATCCGTCTTCTCTGCGTTCATTCGAGATCCTGTTTTCACTTCCTACCACTTCTGACAAGTCGTTGATCATCGCTTGATGTTCTTCAAATTTTTGTGACATTAATCGCTAATCTTCCACAAATTCCAGATATTGCAGAGTCTTCTCATCGACCCAATATATTGATGTCTTCGCACATTCCGCAGTGAGCCGAGTGATCCAGTTCAACACAATCAGAAATATCGTCGACCGCATTACTCAGTGTTGTCTTGCTCCTATTCTCACTTGAAAGACTTCGCTGAATTGTTTCTGTTGTCGATCCGCTGAAATGTGTTACTGTCTTACATCTTTTCAAATAGGCTGATAGACGTTATCGCCAATGAACTGCATTGAGTGGTAGTACTTTCCAGACTCTATGTAGTCAGTCAATTTCTCTGGCGTGTTTTCAATTCTTAGTTCTCTTGTTTCCCACTCAACCATTTCCGAGTGTCTACTCATCGTTTAACGTATTACTTGACAACCACCGCAATCACGTAACCCTTTTGAGTGCTGCTTCATACATTGTTATTTCTCATACACTCTGATTGATTTTCCTACCAGGTGATTTGTGTTGTTATTTACCACTGCATACACCAACCCTCAATAAACCAGAGAGCTGTGAATAGAAGTAACAAGAGGAGATCTCTTTGTCGACCTGTGTATTCTTAATGACTGTCGCACTTATTGTCAGCATCATGAATAAGCACAGACCGAAACAGGGGAACAGAATCTCTGACAATTCTGTTATCATTTACATTGGATATCTTTGAAACAACGACAACAAGAAGAGCGATGCTTTGTCGACTAACCTGCTGTTGTATACAGATCCTTTCTAGCCGCCCATGCATTGCCAAGAGATTTCGTGAAGTTATTAAAGACTGCAAAGCATTAGTAGAATACAGTGTGAGACTCAGCATTTTCTACAGAAACACGAATTCTTATTTACGCGTAATCAAATGTCTACTTTGTGTCGATTTCAATTTTCCTGTTGATTGTGGATTAAGTTAACGTGATTCGGTGGATGGGGAATAGCGATGGAATCCATGATGCATATCTCGTCTTATTCAGAACTCGTCATTTGGGTGTGCCTACAATCTCCATTGGTTGAATATTTCAGTCCAATCAGTCAACCGGAAAATCGAAATTCACTCAAAACAAGACATAGCTGATGCCCATTGCACAAGAGGCGGCTCTGTTTCGTGGCCCAAGTGGTACAGTGAATGACACTTTGGTGTTTGAAGTGATCGGTACTGGTTTCGAGTCTCAGTAGAAACACCAGCACCAACTGGAGAATGCATGCGATTCTTAAATGAAGAATCTCAAATTGCATGAAATGTGCATCTTGGTTTCTACTGCTAGTCACCATTCAACAAATCACTTCACATCTCACTTATTCAGAGGTGCAATATGAACAGACGATGTGCAACAGTGTGTTTTTAAATAACACTTACTGTGATAAATAGGCTGAGCATTGTTGAGGATGTTGTTAATGATGTGAGACAGGTCATGCCCTAGTTGTAATGGATGAGTGGATTAATTTAGAGTTCATAGGTGGTGACTGAGAATTCGATTTCTCTAAACGTCTTTACAAAGGAGTTGAGTACACTATGTTGATTTGTATTGAAATCTACTTTGAGTAAATTCACTGAAGTAGTCGGATGCATTGATGATTCGACATGGGCATATGAATCGTGTTCAGAATTTACGGAGTTACATCGTCTGCAGCACTAGTTGTTTATCCAGATACCTGTTGAATAGCATGTGTGGAAGTCAGCAGTCCACATAGACTTATTTTTAGTATGTGTATGGAATGCCAGGAAGTTGAATATCTTCACAGTCAGGATCTCCATGATACTATCCAGATACCATGATTGTGTTGAACAGTGATAACGTTGAGAGGGAAATCAAAAACCGGTTTATCTACCACTACACTGTATATATATAATGGAAAATGCTTCCTCATGGAGATCAGAAGCTACCTGTAGTCAGGTCAATTTTCGATTTTTTGTTCCCCAATTTGGAAGCAACTACTTTTGCAGCATTACGATCTGGAAATAACAAACACACAAAAATTAGAACAGGAAGTACGGGATGAGGTATGCCCTTGCAAAAATTCTCTATCTATTTATCTATCTATCTATGTATGTATGTATTTGTCATCGATTTATCTATCTTAATATCTATCTAAGTATTTATAGATACATACATTCATTTGCATATTCCTATACATGTATAGACTTATCGGATATATCAATAAACTCACGGAACTTTTCTTGAACAGTTTTGGAGAAATCTGAGCAGTAGATAAATGCAGACACATTATTTACCCACTAACCGCATCTAACACGTTCACGTTCCAAAGTGTGTATAAATCTCGCATTGCATCACTTTGAAGTGGAGACACAGACTGTGAATATATATGAGAGGTGTGGACATTTCTGGATAGGCCATAGGAAAGTGACAATAAAAGTTATTCTTTAGGCAGTTCCATTGGGAAACTCAAGACTTCTGTGTACAAAGAATAATTTTCAAAGCTTAGTTTTGCAGAGTTTCATAGTCAGTCGTTGGAGCATAGAGATTTCTATGGCTGCTTCTAGTTCTACCTGACGAAGTGGGATGGTAGAGTTGTGTATAGAGAGGCAGCTCAGAGTCCGACAAGATAATATTCGCTGTCTTCTTGTGTGAGTTCTCGTGTCTACCTACAACAGTATTAACAATCGGGTTTGATGACATCTCATGGGCATAACAACAGCGCATACTACCCTCCAAAATGTAACAAAGTCTTTCTTATGTAACCCAGACAAGAATGAGGTGAACAAATAAAAGAGCATGGGTAGAACACAAGAATCATCAAACTGTCAAAGTAGAGATTGAGTAATATCGGAGGAAACACATATTCCAAGGAATTCAATACTCAACTTAGTCCAGCTGCAGTGCCATTTACAAGACCAGAATCACGGGAACAACATTTTCATGAACTAATTATAAAGGCAAAGTGCAGTCACAGGAACTCAAATCTCCAGTCACTACTGAAAAACAGTTGGCATGGGAGGTGGTAATGAAAGAAGTGAATTCATCAGCAAATGAGCTTAGTTCTCAGAGACTACAACCAGGCTCAATATAACTGTACGAAATATAGTTGAAATTGTACTCAGACAGATAGGTGCTTCGGTCGACATGTCACAGTAATGCAGTTGATTTTATCATTTGAGAATCTGAAACAAAAGTGTTACTGTATGTGGACCACCACTGAGTATAGATAAGGGTTGCAATGCCAACATCACCATTTCCTGAGCTACACCGATCTTGTCTGAGTGGTGTGAAACAATTGAGACAGACTTAATTTTCATCATACAGATCATGAAACTAGGTGTCTTGAAGAGTTATGATCCTCGTCTTGTGATATGCATTAGAAGACATTTGAAACTGCAGACAGTTAGTTTCATTGGACAGGGAACAGGAGATTGTACTCATGATCCCAGGAATCATTATTTAGTGCAGTAGACTATGTTTCAATGCACGTTGCTACTTAGAACTATGCGTTTCCCTGAGTTAACTCAAAATTTACAAACCCTCAATTTTTCTAAGACTTCAAATGTTCGCGAGAGTGAACAATAAGACTGGTTGTCACATTTTCATAGGTTAATAGATTGAAACCAAGTAGACACGTAAAATCAGATGCAGTATATGATGGAGGATTGTTTGGTAGCACAGTGTCTAAGCTGGTCACTGTTCTAGTACGAGCCGATTAACTCATTCACCAAAGATCGAACACAGGAGCTTCACTTCAAGCTATGTACATTCATGAGTAGGAGATTGAATCGCATCTCAATGACTGGATTGTCAACGATCTCACCTCGTGACCTGAGGCTGTTGGTTTCGATCACTAATGTGTGCGTTCATTGACGTGGACTGTTGAGAACAATGACAAACTACGACAAAACAGCTGTTCAGTTCTCCTAGATGCATTCCAATGGTTTTAGAAAACTATCAGTCATTTGTTAATCAAACTGGGGAAGCAGTTTGACTGTGAAAGAATCTCAGTTTCCAAACGATTTCTTTCCAAGGATTTCTCATGTCAATGTCTCCCTTTGTTAGTGTGAAATGTCAAGGTTGCCTAGTCTCCGTCATGTTATAAGAGGTTATTCTGAAAATAAATCTTACTCAAATGATGTTCATACAGCTGAGATAGATAGTTCACGTTCTTCCAATTAGAGTCCTTTTTCAGTTCTGTAATTAAATGAAAATATCATTCATGAGTCATTTGGATAAAAGATAAAGATGAGGTGTAGTTGGACAGATAAGTGTATGTAATTGTCACGGTGGAAGACATATCTACTGACTGAGCCTCACAGTAGGCATTTTGCAAATCAACTCATAGTTTACACAAGTTCCAGGTGATAATTCGCGCATATTTCCATTCTGGAAATGGAAATTATTCATTGTGGTATGTTTGACACCACTCATTTCAGTGAAATAATAAGCACGTATTGTCATGCATTCAGGCCGACTTCACTGATCACGATTTATGACATCAAGCACATCACACACTCACATTTAGTGGATTGGTGAATAATTTCCGTTTCGCAAGAAAACTGAGAGGTGAAATTTCACCTACTCAAACTGTGTAGAATGCAAATTTGATGTGATTTATTACCAGCTCGCCGAAGTAACCAGCCAAAGATCGGGTAGTTTGAGCTGAGTGAAACTGGTCACATCGCTGATGACCTCGCCACCAGAAGAGGAAAAATGGTCATTCGATAGTGTTGAGATCACTTTGATCTAGGTAGCTAACAAGCCCTACTCTTTGTTGATGCAAGTGTTCTACAGGTACTCAGTAGAGTCCATTGGTATTTGGTAGGTTTTATAGTCTCATGATAAACGTGATTAGCATTATTGAATTGTGCATTATGACTTCAATTCATTGACAGTCATCACTAGTACTCACTGTTCAGATACTCCAGGGCATTTTTCACATATATCTGCTTCTTGGTGTCGCGTATAACTGAAAGATAGAAACAATAACATTTTCAACAGCAATATGAGACTAATCTCAGCAGATGTGTAAAATTGACAGGCTGTGGTGTGAACATGTAATTCCATAGAAATCTATATCACACACATGATGAGACAGTATCATAAACTGGATAACTTAGTTCTGGAGACAATCTCTGATTGTTCAGAATCCTGATAACGAATCTCAAATAACTCGAAATATGCACCCTGCACTCCACTGCTCGTCACCATCCAACACATTTCTTCAAGCTGAGTCCTAATGCATCTTCGAAGCATCCGGAGAAGGAGAGCTGACATGTAAACAGAATTGGAACATCTCGCTCGAATCAATCAACAGGGCAATGAGAAACAGGAAACAACGCATCAGTTATCAATCCCGCCGTCTCCGTTCATCCTGTTGTACAAGCTAGAATTGATACAAGCTAGAATACATGGACTGGTGATTGATGCAGGTTCTAGTGCATGAACGTTAATGACCCGGCTTTCTAATCAGGATTTGACGAGTTCCCGTCCCAGGGGTTTACCTACTGCAATTCAGATGTTCTCATTTAGCTGCTCTTATAACACTGAATGATATTGAAAACCGTGACTTTGACAACGAATCACTTTTGTTGTTATCTGACCTCTTTTGTGAGAAAATAATTGTATATAATTGTGACGTTGATACAGCTGAATAGGAAAGTGAAATCGCCGAACCAGAGCCTCTTCGCTGAACTAAGTGTTCTCCATTCACATGTGGATGTAGATCATTCATGAAATGAATAAACAGTCCTACCAACAAATAAACCCTGTCTTCTGTCAATACAGTGTTAATAATACTTCGATATTTTACTGTTAACTTGCAACAGAATCACCGTGAATTATAGTAGAAATGTTCAGGACTAGGTTCGCAGTGACTTGACTCAAGCTTGTTCACAGATCGACGTCAGTTAGAGAAAGATTGAAAACCAGCCACGAGTACTGAACAGCGCCTTCACCGTAGATTGGCGCTCATTGTCAGTACGCATCCACTGAACTTCAAACTTCAGCGCAATTTAGTTGCAGGATGAGCCACAAAATACCAAACTGGGGTGAAACTACTGCCTGGTACTTACAGGTCGTTGTCACTGGTTCACTACCTGACATCAATCCGTGACCAAACTGAGAACAATTGCTCGAGTGCCAAACTCAGAACATTTCTCAATGTAAGAAATCCTGCATTCTGCTCTCCGATCTCTCGCGTCATTACACAAATATTAGTAGGTTATTATTGAATAAAGGATCACTGTTATTATGACCATAATTATTGTTACTGAAATTAGCTTGAATATCTCACCATAGTTAAAAACCGTCACATTCCAATTGATTTCTGGTGTGGTGACTGCCAATAATGCTACGCCTGTAAAACAGAATATTACAGTCAAATATTTCACAAACAATCCCTGTGGCAGAAGACCTGTTCACAAAATCCCTCCTGATGCGTCTAACTACAGTATTCACACTTATTTGGACGATTCAACAAACGTTGTAATGATTATCCGTGCTCCTCTTGAACTGCTCTCTTCGGAGTGTTTTCGTGCTGGACGTCTCTCCACGGAAACTCGGATGGCTAAACAGTCGGTTCACTGCGTTCAGATCACAATTTAGTTGGTTTCGATCGGTAAAAATTACATGAACTTAACGGAATACATAATAAAATGGTGTTAGTGAGGTGTGAGAATTATGTGCATACGATATAGAAGGCGATTCAGCATGAAATTTGAACGTCCTTGTGCATTACAGTCACTTCAAGTTTGATCACGCAGTGAATGATGTCAGTCTTAGAGGCATTACAAAGCACAGATGGATGTTTCAATCTCGTTTTGAGACTGTTTAGTAGTAAACACCCATGACTACACCCACCGAGCATCTAATGGTTGAGTTATATATGTGGCAATTAGGCAGAAGACAGAGTTTATTGACCAGCCGTTGAATTCCGCACCAATAGGTGAACTATCATTCGGTTCTACAATTAACATGTATGCCTTCAGTTATGTCTTTGCACGGATGATGGAGTGTGAATGGATCAGTATTGTCGAAGGGGTATAAAGTAGGTGTCAAGCAACACATGGATTGCTCAATGCTTCTCCAACTAATATCAATCGGAGAACAAACTGAAAATCAATCAAACGACTACTAACCAACACTTGAATATACTAGAATTAACCTCACTTACATTCAGCAGTCTTGTAATAGCCATACAGTTCAGCGTAATGCTTGATTCGCGTGGCCAATTCATCTAGAAGATAGAAAAGAAGTTGAAGGTAGTATTTACAGTTGACAAATATGAATACTGTCAAGAACATGGTTTTCCTGTTTGCTGTAAGGAGGAATTGGAACCATTTTGGAAGTCCAAGGACCATTTGACAGTGACTGTGGAGAAAGGAGTAAGGTGAAAATGTGCTAGTAAGGTCGCATATTCAACTCAGAATACATATGCATTCGCTCGTCAGATCTCCTCTCATCCCACTGTTTCATGAAGTAGCCTTGTGTGAGGCTGGTTTATGTCATCTCTATGTAACATATTCTGATATAGAAATCAGTTGGACGTTGATGGTGGAGAACACCAGATATTATCGCCTAAGTGACATCAGCGAATGTGGGAGAATGACTTCTATTCCTTGATGTCTACGCCACTTGAAACACATCTAATTGAATAGAGAACACTTCAAGTGATTGGTTACAGAGGTGGAAGTGTTTATTCCTCAAATCTGGATTAAGTTTACTCAGTGGAAACTGGACAACCTGCTTAACATTGACTCAATCACCAAACCATCAGAGATATCTAGTCTCCTTCGACCTAGCCGAACATTAATATAAATTAGGAAGGTCGGTTATCAGGTCTCCCATCTCCTCTCGTTTCATTAGCATTCTGTACGTGTACACATGTGATTGCATAGTTATACACGAGGATGATAATTCGTCAACTTCGATTCCTGCGAAAAAGTTAGTCATTAAGCAGTCTGCACAGCAGCAACGTAGTCTAGTCGAAAAGAAATTCAAGTCGTCTACACAACACTGTGGGCACGACTTACTGTTTTGTACCGGAGATAATTTATTGCACAGCACGTAGGACACTGTAACAAAGTTGAAAGAAACAAAACGAACGAGGATGAAATTTCTGATTTACAAGTGCCTAATTAAAATACTGAAGAATGAACAAAGCAGTCTCTTTTCCATAACTTCCTTTTCTCCACGTTCAACAGGTGTATATTCACCGATAATAATAGTTGAAGAATTATTGTCATTAACAACATCACTACTAATAAAATGAAATCGTATGAATAACACCGATTGATTAGAGATGAACAGCAGCTGTCAGTGATAATATACATCAGTATAACACTGGAGTGAATATCAGATAAATGAGGAAGGGTAACAATACAGAATCACTGAATTTACAGGTCACACAGCAAGCAAGTCAAAGCAGCAGTGGCTGGAGCTGTTTCTTTAGCACACATAACCACGGTTGATTTAAGCGAATTGAAGTAAACTGTTTAGTTCGAAGCCTTTTGTGTCCTAAGAGTTTTTGACGATTTAGTTGCCACACGACAAGCGATAGAAAAAGGACTCTTCAATGTTGGAGTTGTGGCCTGTTTGGTCGAGGTGGTCTCATATTGAACTGTTCTCAATTCAGATTCATTTAACCAGACTGGTAGGATTTTCAAAGCACGAACAATTACGGTTCTAGAACAACGACCAATATAACTGGCTCAATAGAAGCACCTCAATTGATACACAAATAGATAGGTTAAGAGATAGATGAGGTGGTGGCAGGCAGATGTATTTCGTCTTTCACTCGCAGAATCACAATTGGTAGTGTCAAAAATGCGAGGTTCATTATATCATCAATCTCTCACAGATGTACTTCCAATTGTAATCTGTTGACATCAATGATTCAGTGTTATTAAAAACAGTCATCTTTATTTATTAATATTTTAAATTTTCTTTGATGACAGCTTGATGCCACATCGTATTTTCAGTACAAGTATGGCATTTTCAGCATGAATATCGGTAATTCAAATTTTGCAGGCCGACCATAGATATCGGGTGTGCGTCGGGAGGGTGATCGAACCCCGAACCATGTGCATGGTTGGCGAGAATCCTAAACATTGTGCCGTCGTCCAACCATGTCAAAACAAAACACAGAAGGTTGCACAACGACCTGGTTGTGTCTCACATGAATTCGATGTAACAAATCGCCGTATCTTCAACTTAACAAACACGGAACTTTAGAATCATATAAAAATTTAGTGCAATACATACAATACAAAGTTACGTGATACTACTGATAATCACTCACATTGAAACAACGTCCAAACCAACGGCAGTACCAGGCAATGCTTCTTAATCATGTTGTTGGTGTGCAGAGATGTTGAGTTGAACAGCAAACAAAGTACCACCGCACTATTTATACCCTACAGGTGGCCAGTGAATGTGAGAAAAAGAGAGCGAGTGTGTGTGTGGAGGGGGGAATTGGATGCACTTCTCACCATATAAGATTAGTGTATTTCGTGTTACTGCGTGAACATTTCATGTGAAATTCACAACAGAAATTTGAGGACACAGTAACAATTGCTTGTAATTACCTGGATACCAGTGTTACTACATTGAAACAATTCCCACATATCAGATTTCTGAAAATTTAATTTGCGATTAAAGCAGAATAATTCACATGAGCAGTTATGTGTTCAAATGTACTGTACCCACAGAAAGTACACAAACAAGCAAGTTAGTTAGCGGATATGTTGGTGAGTTATACGTGTTCATTTATTTAGTTGCAAAGTTAGACAGTTCAGGGTAAGTTAGTGAGATGGTCAATTAGTTATTTGGTAAGATTTTTATTTCGTTAATTCGTCAGATATCTCTGAAGTAGAGACAGTAGTGAATTATGGCCACTTACCACCGACGATGATGATTCTGATAGTGTTAGAGAGGATCACTGAGCAGGCTGCAGAATGCAAGAAGACAGGAATGTGTTGGACAGATGAGAAGACTCCACAGTATCTGGATATTGTAGAAGATTAGCGTTGAATGCCACAAAAATTCGAAGATTTTCAGGTCACGACCAACGATTTGTTGGAAGTGGTACGAAGCGAAGACAGGAATTCGAATGAATACGGAGAAGACGGAGATCATAAAGATAAGCAATAAACCAACCAACCTACTTACGTATCAAACAATCAGCCAAAAACAGCAACATCCAACACCAATCATTATCAGTGACAGGAATTTGCAGGAGATCACTGAAATATGTTCGTAAATCTACTTCACGCAGCATGATGAACAAAATTTCGATTTTGAACAGCAAAATGGACTCAGTTCTTCTATATGGTTGAGTGACTTGAAATGTGCTCCACTGGAAGCATTTCCAACAGACTACTGCAGACATTGATCGAAAGCGACACTTTGGCTTCATGTTGAAGTTGAGCTGGACAGAAAGAATTCTTATGGTTAGTTATTTATTCAGTTCGTTTTTGCTTCGAGTGAAAGATACGAAGTCAAGTGTTATCTTCGAATTTTCAATAACAGTTTTGTTTTCCGCATAGTAAGATACCTGCATTCAACCCCATCCATTCCCCTTTTTGCTGGGTTTTAATCAGCTGAGTGAGGCAGGATTGTGCGTCGGCCTGGTGTTAAAACCGTTACCATATGCACGTTTGACGTGGATTCCAGTATTGAATGACCGGCGAACCTAAGTGGAATAAGTAGCAAGCGACTCTGAGAACAAACTCACCAATTACACACTGCTCAACAAATATTCTGAAGTAAATGAGATATACGGTGAAGAGACCGTCGAATGAAATGATGCGATTCGAGTTTCAACTGAACAGGAGACATGTTTGAATGGAAGTTAGGAAAATAAGAGGTCTCTTCGCTTACTTAAGTGTTCCTAATCACACGACATAGTAGTAGGAGCATTATTGAAATACTCAAGGCACCTGTGGAGAAGAATAATTAGCCAAGTATTTGTTTGAGAAGGAAATGCACTTTGTATGTTAAAAGATTGTCAGTAAGTGTTTTCAGTTGAATGAGTGTTTGGCTGTTGTGACTGTCGACTCACAATTCTTAGTTTTGATCAAATACTCTCTCATGAAATAAATTTCATGGAACACATTGTAAATCTACTCGTTTTCATTGTGTGTTTCTGAACTATGAGATACATTCATGATGTTTTTTGACAGGTGTGTACTATAAAACTGTGAATATGCAGGAGAATCCCGAAATCATGAATGCCAGTGAATGAACAGAAATAAGCGAAGCGTAGGTGTATTTCTTTGTTCACGTTGAAGGACTTGAGATAGTTAAGACCTTTGACCATGAGGTGACTTTATTCAGAAACACGTTTGTAACAAACTTGGAATAACGAACAGCACTTATTTCCTATTTCCGATCTTTCAAACGGTTTGCACCCATCGAGACTCCCAGCCAGACTCTTTGACGTACAAACCGATCGCGTAGATCCCGAAGCCAATGAGATCCATTTCAAATTGTTAACTCTGACATACAAAGAATTCATTTCAGTCATCTACGATTTTGTTATATTTGGGAGAAACGTCTGAAAACGTAAGTCAGATTCTACACAATGTTAGATTTTGGTTTCTCCACTCAAATCTACAAAATCACTCAGAGACAAGCTCTGCAAGCTAAACGAACCGAGTGCACTGATCGCATTCTGTCAGGAAATCAAATCACACGGAATGCGTTCAATGTAGAATGACTGACGTCATACGTTGAACCTGATCGATGCCATACAAACACGTCTCCCTGAACTTGAGAATAACGTATCTCAACGTATGCATTTCTTGTTTGAACTAACAGAGACAGAACGTAGCCTGTTCGAGGATTATATCTCTGACGTCATAAAGGAAAGATCTGAAGATGTTAGAATAAATATACTGAAAAGTTGCAAAACAATCGAATCTCACTTTAAGTTTCTGGATTCGCCAGAGAAATACGTTTTCAACTATTCTAACATATCTTTTTCTGATATTCAAATGCAAATCCTATCTCTTGGTCTGAAGTTCTCTACTTTTTCGTACAGATTCAACGAATTAGACACAAAAGTTCAGTTTGAAAATCTCATGAATCAAACACATGACTTGCGTCCAACGTCTAGCGAAGACGTTGAACAATTTAAATCTGCAATACTTCATTGTTATTACCAGTACCAAAGAACGCAAGGCAGACAACAACAAATGTTATCAAAAGAACACAAAAGACAACTTAATGAATTGCTTAACAACAAAAACATAATACTGATTCGTCCAGACGAAGGATCAGGTATTGTCATTCTTAATCGTGATGACTATGTCAACAAATTATGTACCATTCTGAGTGATGAAGAAAAATTTCAAAAATCACCCGATCAAAAAGACAAGACAGAGAATATTGAGAAAGAATTATCAAAAACTTTGACAAAACTAAAGCAAGAATGCATCATTACTCCATATATGTATGAACAGCTTTAACCATCTGGTTCAACTATCCCTCGTTTATATGGTCTTCCAAAGGTGCACAAAGATGATGTCCCTCTGCGACCTGTATTGGATATGCTGAATTCACCGTATCACCTGACCGGTTAATGGCTTGCGGAAATTCTGGAACCAGTGAGATTAAATCTATGTAAACACAGTCTTTCCAACACTTTTGACTTTGTCAGTTGTGTTGATGAAATTAATGTGTCTGGTAAGCATATGATTTCGCTAGATGTTTGTTCATTGTTCACAAATGTACCACTAGTAGACACTATCTGCTATCTATGCGAGTATATTGATTCAAATAGCATGAACATTGGGTTAACAGCTGAATATCTTAAACAACTATTATTGAGATGCACACTGAATGTGCAATTTAGATTTAATGATGTCATCTACAATCACAGGGATGGAGTCGCAATGGGGTCTCCTTTAGGACCGCTCTAAGCGGACGTCTTCATGGCTAGCTTAGAGAATGGCCCACTAAAGGAAAAAGATATAAAGATGACACTTTCAATGTATGTGACGAAAACTCTTCAACTGCTGAACTTCTTGGAATATTTAATGGTTCTCACCCATCTTTGCTTTTCACAGTCGAAGAAGATTCGAATTCCTCATTTCACTTCCTTGATGTTAAGCTAGATAGAAGAGAGAATGGCACGTTGCTAAGGTCGATTTACCGAAAGCCAACATTCACTGGGCAGTACACTAACTTCAACAGTAGGGTACCGTCAGGGAGAAAGAGAAATCTTATTCATTCCTTATGCTCCAGAATTCGTAAAATCTGCTCTGCAGAGACAATCGATAGTGAACTAGATAAGCTTCGATCAAATCTCCTTAATAATGGTTATCCTACAAGGTTTATCGAACGTAACATCAAGAAAGAATCCGCCCCTAGACAAATTACAGTGCCAAAGAAGAAACTGTTTATGAGTCTGGCATTCAAAGGTGACACCATTTCGGAACTGATTAAAAATCGTTTATCTAAATGTATTTAACGCACTTTCCTGCAGCTGACTTGCAACTAGTTTTTACCAGCCGAAATATGATTAGACAATGCGTCAAGGATAGATTACCGCTTTTGTCCACATCCATGTGTATTTACTCTTTTACCTGCTCTTGTGGAGCTGTTTATATTGGACGTTGTAAGCGTAATCTCCGAAAACGTGTAGCTGAACACTATCCAGTCTGGTTAATGAAAGGTGAAAGTAGAACTGCGAAGTCGTCTATCTGTGATCACCTGTTAGAGTCAGGTCATTTAGCCCCACGTGATTCATCTTTCAAAGTTATCTACATGGCAAAATCGAATCGATCCAAAAGTTTACGTTTTCTTCACTTATGCATAGCTGAAGCTTTAGCTATACATGAACAGAAACCTAAATTATGTGTTCAAAAACGTTTTGTCAAACCCCTTTCTTTACCTTGGTCATAGTAATGTTCTTTCTAGTTTTTACTTTATTTTATTTTGCCACTTGAATTCTTTCCACTTCACTTCACATCTTCATTCTTATCGTAATCGTACTCCTAATTTTTTAAAATTTTTAGACAACACTTGACATTTTTAAAACATTTTTGATTTCAATTCACTTATAAAACAATCTTTAATAATTTTGTAATTTATCCACTTCAACTCTACCCCTTATAACATTTTAATTATCGTTATTCTTATCACATATATGTATATTGACTGAGCAATTATTTAGTGCCACTTAATAACCTTTTCTGTGATATAAATACGACTGTACAGCTTGAAAATGAAGTCGTTGAAAAGAAATTTCTTCGCTGAACAAAAACTGTGTTTTTACTTATGAATAAATGGGTATTTTTCGTGATTAATATGAGTGTCTGCAGTGAATCTGGATTTGTCCTAATTAGCA